GGTCACGAGACTCTCCCGTGACCATGATTGCATGAAAAGATAGTTTTATTTAAAATAACATTGTACTCATATTTTTTCGCAGTTATAATCTTAGTATGATGAGTAAGTAAATTAGGTGTATTGTAGACATACTAGTACTGACTATATGTAATGTGACACAGCCACATATATTATGTACATACTCGCATCGTACGTAGCCACATATCTTAAAACTAGAAACTTGAAGCTATAAAATGCTTTTTTTTCATTCGTTATTTTTCGCTGAGATACGCCTTTAAAAATCTTTAAAAAAATTAAGTATTTTTTTCGATCCTTTAATTTTTTACAGTAGTGTATCGATAAAATGCAGATTTATGTGGAAAAACTTGAAAAATATAAAAACGAATGGATGAAGCTTTTGCTTTAGCATCATCTTAATCAATTATTTAGCATTTACATTTTACGTACATACATGAATATATATTTTGAATAGCTTAGTGCTTGAGTTTTTTTGTGACCCAGATCGTTGTATACAACTCGCGCGCCATTTATTATACGTTGATGTTATTATATCTAAAACCTTACCACATATTATACTCATACTATAATCAATCACTACAAAAAGACAAGATACAATAATTTTGTATAATTAACCCAACGACGCGACGGACGAGTGTAATCTGATGTTCAGAATTGATTTTTGAAAAAATATGTTAAAACAAGTTTTATATTTGCGTTTGAGACATAAGAAGCATATGTTAATTTTAAAGTACACAATCAAAAACAAACGTTGTCGCTTATTTCGCTTTAAAGTCTCTTATATTAACTTTAGGGCTCTTTCCTACGCCGTGTTTTATCTTAACAGTGACATCCCTACAATTGCGCAATCAATACCAAATATTCATCCGCCGGTTACTTTTTTACTGCCTCGGTATTGTAGCGGCTAGCATGTACGGCTGCACACTCGGAGGTCCTGGGTTCGAGTCCCGGGTCGGGCCAAGTTTAGTTATTGAGTCTTTCTGTATAGTATATATATATATATATATATATATATATATATATATATATATATATATATATAAAACAATAATATTAAATAAAACATTTAGATCTTATCTCCGTCCATGATTGAACTACTTAGCAACCTCCTTGAAACTGTTAGATTGCACGAGATAATAATTACTGCATGTAATACGTACCATACCAACTGCACTTGTTATTAGGGTGGCGTGCCCTATTTATGTTGTATAATTAATATTAATACTAGTTTCTGGATACGGTTTCGCTTGTATTTGTATCTTTTTATCTAGTGTAGCATTGAAAGAAAGCTATCTATACTAATATTATAAAGAGGTAAAGTTTGTGAGTTTGTGACGATGTAGGGGGTAATCTCTGGAACTCCAGCGTGGTGGAATATGGCCTGACCTCCCTTGTGTTGAAGGAGGGTTAAAAAGGTTGTATACATTATACATATATTGTTAAAAAATCATATACGCTCAGCTTCCATATCCAGCTATAAAAGCAGTGAGAAGTAAAGTTTAAGTTATCGAAGCCACGTGTAACCGTTAGTGTGTATTGGTACATAAGCGTTTGCCCGATTATATGTCAAGGCCTACTATATACACACGGATGTATGTATTTATACATATATCTAAGTTTTGAGACTGTGATAGCATACTAATTGCTTGTAGATGGGTACATTGTACTAATACATCAGACGTCGTACCTAATTTTTATCGCGTAGAAATTTATTCGTAAAAACGTCTAAATTATGCAAGTTATTTTAAAGATTAAGCAGAAACAACAAACTGGCAGCATACATTTACCAAAATATAGTTTCTTACTTTGTTTACTAATCGTTTCATTTTCAATTACCTTATATAATGAAACTTTTGCAAGCTAAGAAAAGACGAGATTGACACAGATAATACATAACAATACCAAAACAATTCAATTTGCCCAAACTGAAACTTAAAAGTCACTGAAGAGTTCCACCATCAAACTCCTTACTACATCAGATTAGCTCTATGGTATCTAATTATTATTTTGCCATCAGAAACCGGCCTAGAACATTTCAAATAGATACAAAAATTTAAAAGTAGGTTGAAATCGACTTCCTAGTTTGTATTGCAAAGTTACAAGTGACTCTACTAAATGACAAATAAGAATGAGTATGCAAAAAAAAGTTATTTAAGTCACTAACACACAAATTGCACGTTCAGAAAATATATGTTTTGAATTTGTTAAGGATTTAATGTAATTTGGTTTGGTTGATTTTGGATTGAAATCTCAGTAATTCGACCAAGAATGATCAAACTTTAGTAACCAAAGTTTTTTTCATTTCAATGAATTTATTTTAATATCGAACCAGACAGACAAAAAACTACCAAAAAGATTCAATGGTACAAAAAAAACCCACAAAGATCGCAATTGAATTTATATAATCATTTCATTTGTTACATCATAACAAGAAGTTGCGAGTAACATCAATAAAAAAAAATCTAAATGAAGCGTGTCTTTGGTTTATATACACATATAAATGTCTAAACGCTATCCAGTTATAATTTTTTAATGACTTTGCCTTATGGCGCATACGGAAGAGTAATTATATTTTTACTTTATAAAGTAATCATAATTATTTTTGAACGTTGTTACTTTATAAAGTAACCCAGTAGCCAGCAAGCAGTGGTAACGTGCTCACTTGGAAAACAAAGTGTACCGATTTTGAAAAAAAATAATTATTGTGTGGGTAGGTACTGTCTGTAACAACTACATATATATATATATATATATATATATATATATATATATATTCCTTTGAGACGTCTAAAACCTTAGTATCTCCCGTGATTATGATTGCTGTAAAGCATCTGTCAAATCAAAATTAACATAAATCCGCGAAAACCATTGAAAAGGTTTTATTTTAACAAGTGAAAATGATTCAAAGCTCAGGTCCAGTCCTGGTGATTTCATGTGCGAGTCATTTCCAATTTCCATAATAATTTACATTATGAGAAAGAGGAAATTCTATCTTTAGTATAAAATATAGATTTTCATGTAAACGGATACGTGAAAGGTAAAACTACATATATTCTGGTTACTAAAATACACGTACAACTAAAGCTGCATGCAAAACTAGTTTATATATATTTTAAAAATTACATAAAGCATACCTATTTTCGGCTGTTTTTATATTGATTGTAAGTAGTTAATTTATAGGTGTATTTTTTAGAACTTACTGATGCGAATCTTACACGATTCGTTTATATATAAATAGGATAGAACACTTCACTATCTTTGTCTCGTCTGTTTGTCAACCGGTTTTTTTTTGTTTAGTAGCTGTTGACGAGCTTTGGTGTTTTCAATAAAAAAAATAACAGACGACAAATACAGACAGACAATAAACAGTTACTTTTTTACATAGATATGTAAAAACAAAACAATTCACTTTTATAATTTATTCCAATAATGATTATGGTCGAATTTCAAGCAAACTGAGTCAAATCTATAGATTAAATATTTTTTGGAAAATCTTATTGAAATAGTCACTACCGATACAGGGACCGAATCTATAGTTTTTAGAATTTTTATCCGTTTGTCTGTCTGTTTTGAATTTTTGTATGATAATAGCCGGTTATCCGGGTCAACATATAGGACTTTTTACTTCAGGAAAATATCTCATCTCTGAGAAATCCATACTAAACGTTAAAACGTAACTAGGGACGGACCCGAGCGGAGTGAGGGTGAGTCGCTAGTACTTATAAATAGGAAGTTGTGCAAAGGATAATAATAATAGTTTTCAATCAGTACATACATTGTATAAAAATTATTAGAGTCAAGTTGTAAATTGAATATTTTTTGCAAAGAAATTTGGTGCTAAATTAATAGTGTTTTTACCGACACCGTAAAAAGAGATGCGATATTATTTTTAATATTTTATTTAGCAATTTTCGTTATTATTATTTTTTACCTTATAAAATTATTTTCCTAAAGGGAAGTGAATTATTTTTAAAACAATTTTGAAATCAGTGTACCTTTTTAACTAATAAGTTGTTTTTGGACTCTTTATTATCTATTTAATTGCACATAACTCGAACATGTCTGGACGGGTTTCATGTGCATAACAAAACTTGAACTCCACTCTACATTCTTCCATTAAGGAATGAAGTTGTAGTTGCTAAGGATATAACAAAAATGTAAAGTAAAAGTTAAGTAAGTTAAGGGAAAGATACAGCATATTATGTAAATTAACTAGCGAATTAACGTTACTTCAATCATATGCCTCCCTAAGTACCTAACAGTTGCCTATATATTACTCCAAATTTAAATCTATCTTTGTACTAAATTTAATCTAAACCCGTCCAGTCGTTTCAGTGGGATATAGTAACAAACGTACACACATACAAACTTTCACATTTATAATAATACTCCGGTAAAGGTAAAACGACCTCGTTTCTTTTGATACGGATACTAAAATCCATGAACTTGGTATGTATAATGTATATATACCATTTCAGCATGCGGGGAGTGCGAAAGTGTTATAACAACATGAAGGCAAACGGCTCCATACATAATGTATGCCAACTTTAATATTTGTTACATATATTCATACATACACTTTATCAAATCGTAACTAGATGTGGTTTAAATCAAATTTAAGATTAATGTTTCTTTAAAAATGGCAATTCCCCTTTCAAAATATGACTTGAAACAAAAGTTTATCAAGCAAACCTATCAAGGTTTTTAAACTTAATGTATGTGGATTTTTAGAGGTTAAGCAGGAATTGTCAGTTAAGTTGTTAAAAATAAATAAAAAAACGAACTTTAAATTACGTATAAAAATCTATTAATATAATGAGAAATTTATATTTTATAGTGATATACATAAAACTACATATATAATATAGTATATATTGCGAAGAACCTCAAGTGGAAGACCAATTCAAAACTTTCACCATCATTGTACTACACGAAACTTTGATCAAAATCTATAATACTAAGTTTTTTGTCAACAGATAAGCATGGGCGAAGATAAGAACGGAACAGAAGAGAACGTAGCAGCTAATGAGGAAGAAGAAGCGCCAGAACTACAACCAGACCCAGACGAGGACAACATGCAAAAACAAATGAACACTATCAACAAAGAACTTGCGAAGAAATATTCAGACCACGCGATACGCCAACGTGAGAATGAGAAGAACTCATATATTATACAAAGTATTAAGAACTCTAACTCTGGCATCAGCGTGAAGGAGTTTAACGAAGAAACACTTCTGGCCGAATCGAAGACTGTGGCTAGATTCTCGCCAGTATGGAAACAGGTATTTAATTGTTTGACATTGAAATTAGACTTAATAAAGAAATTATAGATTACCAGTGACATGTACTCAGTTAGCTCGTGTGTGCCTCTAGATGCCCTCAGTAGCTTATGTGCTATTCCAGATCATAATCTATGTGTTCTAAATTTCACCTAATTCAGTTCAGCAGTTTTAGAAATAGCAATAAAAAAACTAAAAAAAGACGTTGAAACATGGATAGTGAAACTAAGAAAAAAGATAAAAATTAATATAAAAGTAAAAACAAATGTAGAATTTTGGCCTGTCTGTCTAACGTCTATCAATGATAGAACAACTAAGACAAATTTGACTTAATACAACTAATTAAAGTTAGTTAAAAATTACGTATTTATAAGCTTAAATTGTGTTTTCAACGAAACGAACATACCGTAAAACTATGTTATTAGTTATAGAAATAATAACTATAGCTGCCTCTCAAGCCACAGGGGTGCCTTTCACGTCTCGGGCAAATAGCTGAATTAAAAGGTCGAAATAAGGTTGTCTGGACCAAAATAAGAGAACGCCATTGACTACATATAGACCGCCATTATACTTATTTTTTTTTACAAAAAGCTGACTGTCTATTTCGTTATCACAGCTTACTGAATTATTTTGATGAACTTTGATACGGTTTTTTGCATCAAAAGGATTTATTTTTTCTTGTAAACATCAATTCCCAAGGTTCTAAAATGGGTGGTCTAGCTTATGTATATGCTTAATATCGTATTACGGACTTACATGTACATACACATGAGATTTGTTAAGTAAAAAACGTTGCAATTGTGCATAAATATTATTAATATATAAGTACAAAATCAAAGAAAACTTTCCAATATAAACAATTGTTTTGTTTAAAAAATATGTTAATATATGATTCATACGAATTCTTTAATATGTCACCATACCCTCATATTTCCAACCTTCACATTCCAGACCCTGGCCGCGTCTGCAGCTATCATCATGACTTTCACAGCTGGACTCACTTCGGGTTACTCCGCCATACTTCTGCCTCAACTGAGAGCTTCCAACACGATACCCTGTGATGAAAGTACCGCTTCATGGATTGGTAAGATATCAACATTGTTTATATATATATATATAGTTTTTATTTCATTACATATATACATTTTTATTTCATTTATTTAAAAAAACCATACATTTTTCGGATGTTTTAATAGTCATTCCGCTATATTGAGTTATAAATGGTGAACTAACTAAATATATATGTATATGTATATATATTCTATTTCTGGCATTACTTAAAAAAGAACTTAACGGCATGCGCAGTGAACTGTGAAAACTTCAGACAGTAGATAATAATCTAAAACTAAAAAATGTAAATAAATAATAGTTAAAAATTTATTCCTTTTAAAAATTTTACTTTTTTTGGATATGGCAACTAAAACCTTTCAACACAATAACCGTGATAAACGTGCTTCTGAAGTACAGACCAATGTCAGACATCAATTTTGTGTATATATGTAACTTAAATAAAAACTAATAGCTTCCGCCTTCCATACAACCTGCATTGTGTCGAACACAATTAATAATCTCTTATTAAAATATCTCTCTGGTATAAAGCTTTAACAGTATTCGTGTGGCAATTTTATACCTAGACTCGTTATTTGTCTCAGAATCTGTGAAAGTTACCACTTTGATATTTAACGAAATGATGCTTCTGACTTTTATCTTGAATTGCCGAAGAAAACACGATTGGAGAAAATTTTGTCGATAATATATGTTTTTGGAAAATATGTTTAGCACACATATTGCTATTTATTTCAGGAACAGGGTTCTGTAGGGTTTTTGTTTTGTCAGGAAGCCTAGAAGTATTTCTTAAGTTACCGAATTGCATTTTTCGTTGAGTTGTTTAATTAATTTATAGTAAATTAAAAACTGTTTTAGTGCTTATAATACGTTGAGCATCTATCGCTCTATACTTCTCACTCACGATAGAACATTATCTTGTCATCCCGCTCCTCCGAAACCGAATCGTAGCGGTCTCATGGCGCACTCTTGAACAGAATTATACCAAAAAAATACACTCGTTTTACAAAGTTATTACTTTTAGGCTGTAAACTATAAAGTAATTACTTAGGTTGCATTTTTTTTTAGTTTTATTGTATTCAATAAAATTCTCGAAAAAAAGGAAATCACAATCAACATAATGAGAAATACGAGATAGACTTTATTTTATATCGCTTAATATAAACTGCAATGTAAATTATGCTAATTAAATTGTTAAATTACTTAACCTTAATGTTATCGCTAATAACAGATTATCGATTTATCGGTATTATATCGTCCGTGACCCTCTAAGTCTAAACGTACTTAAATCATTGCCTCATATTTTTTACCTCTGTCAAGACAATTTACTATCACCGTAATCAAGGACACTTAATCGATAATTAATGATTAAGTATTTATAAATCCATCCTTTGATTCTTCATAGTAGCCTATATGTTACTCCAGGTCTATTCTATCTGAGCTGTGCACTAAATTTTCATCCTTTATCCAGACGTGTCATATCCATAAAATTCAATTTTATTAATTAATAGTGCACTTCATATTAAAACAAAAACGAAACAACAGTACTAAAAGCTATTTTGTATATGTTAAACAATTTTTACAAAAACAAATCTAATTCTATTCCACGGTAATCGAACCTTTTTTCCGGGATAAAAAATACCCTATGTAATTCCAGACTATAATCTATCTCTGTGCCAAATTTTATTCAGATCCATTTAACCGTTCTGGCGTGAGTGAGTAACAAACATCAGTCCAAACTTTCGTATTTATAATGTTAATTGGATAATCGGATATTAAAAAAAACTAACTGACTCTCGAGAGTCTTCTGTTTCCTCACTCTTATATTTCGGTGGGATTCGATACAATGACAGATCTTCCTGAGGCAGAGGGAAAAGTAACATCGCTGGCTTTACCTTGATCTGCTACCAAAATGTATAACAGAAAGTTTTAACACGTTTTTTATGTTCACTTCGTCTTGGATGATGCAGTTATTTTGATAACGATTTAAAAAAGTATCATAACAAAGGTAAATGTGCAATGTCACTTTGTGATTTACAAAAAAATATAATAAGATTATCAATTATGTATCCTCATATATCGATGGGAAGCTCATTTGTCGGCAGTGTTGGAACCCCATGATAGGTTTCTCATTACAAAAAATGTTTGAAAGATCTTTCCATAAGGTTTCAGCAAACTTCAAAATAAAATAACCAAATTATATTGTAGAAAGTTATATGTATAATTGTCATGAAAATAAAGCTAAAAGTATATTAATTAGTTCATTAATATAATCAATTACGAGCTGATATCGACATATGTATGTACATAAATTATTGCATTGGCGGAATCGATGTTATATTATCAGTGAATATATATTATACTTATTACCAACGTTCCAATATTAGCCTCGAAAGTGACGAGCGTAAAAAGATAAAAAAATATATTTATTCTGTAAAAACTAAATAATATTATACTTTTTTAAATAAAACTGTCTTTTTGGATTTATTTCATAAATCGGCGAAAAAAATCCCAAAAGATTGTTTTATTTAAAATGTCAAATATCCGCGTGAATCTACTAAAATATTAGGTATACTGATGTAAAAGTATTGTGTCACGTGGTCAATATACGTCGTCTATCTACAATTTTTTTAGCGATAGTAATAGCAGGATGTCATCTCTAATTCTTTTTACTGTTCCTAGGAAATTATATTTTACTCAGTTCATATTTCATTTTATTCAGATATAGTGTACCTACCCACGTTTTCTTTTGTATGGCCGGAAGAAATTTTTGAATTGAATTTCTGCTATTATGAAAGATAGACGATACGTAAAAACATAATTTTGATGAAAATGAAATTCTTAGAATTTTAATAGATATAAACGTATTCTGAATATTTTTCCCTGTCGTCCATTCACTTCCGTATCAATCAGTAGGAGCTAAATTCAGCGTTTATAAAAACTGTTGAACATTATATACCTATTATTTTCTCACAGTAAAAATTATCCTATACGTTGACTCGGATAACCAGCTATCATCATACCAAATTTCATCAAAATCTTTCCAGTGGATTTCTCGTGATCCGTTCTTAAACAGATGATGAGAGATGCAGCCCTTGTATCAATAATAATAACTATTTTAATAAAAAAATTCTAAAAGATATTTAACGTACAAATTCGACTCAGTTAGAATTTTATTATATGTATAGATTAATTAATCGAGACTATTAATGAAGGTTTTCTTTTATAATTATTTAACCAAGCTTATATAGAACCGTTTAATAATATACATATATGTATGAAAGCTGTCGCAAGTGCTAGCGTGGAGACCGGTCTGCTTTAAATACCAAAGGTCGAAATACGATGTCTTATTACTGCGTGTACTTGTATGAATAATGATCCATCACATCAAAATCTTTGTTAAAGCTTCAATGAATAACTGATTGACAGAGACTTGAGTTTAATTCCGTGTTAAATAAAAACGCATAGAAATGTTTTTATCGTTCAGTTGGTATCATTGTATTCATTACATAACTAAAATTATTTAATTGGTGTTGAATTAAAAATTATTTGTTTTTATTTAAAAAATTAAAAGGGTAAATATAATTCTTTATATAAAAAATATAAATTATAAAGAAATTATATGTAAGAATTTTTATGTAAATATGTAGTAAGTACTTTATTTTCGCTCGAGGTTTTAGTGCTTTGGCATGTCATAAAATTGTGCTAATTCAGGTTACATAAGCTCCATTTTAACTTTCGTCTAAATCCATTGAACGGTTAGAGCGTTAAAATATAAGTAGCACTTACATGCTCTCATTTATAAAGTATAATCGTCACGGTGGTGAGAGGCATCACATATCCTAAGACTTTTCCAAACGTTGAGTCCTTTATACACATATCTTCTTGGATGGGGAACTGGATGATATGCGTGATGATATTTGTATTTTAAAGTTTTTTGTACATATTAAAAGAGAATATGGTACAGTAAATAAAACTCACTAAAACGAAGATATCGCGTAAATCTTGATCCGAATCCGATTTTTTTTTAATTTGTAAAATTATAATTGTCAATGCCATTATAATTTTACATGTAAATATACCTAATAGTTTAAATATTAAGAATATGTAAATAGGCAAAGACTAAACAGTTCAGTTTCTTCACTTTTTCCTCCTCTGTTTGTGAACGGATTTTCTTCTTAATTTTCTTTTTTTTATCTATTAAAAATATTGAAATCACTTATTTTTTTAATATAAGTAGATAGGTAAATTCTATTCGTATATTTTATATTTTTTCTTCAAATTCGAAATTCGACCATAATCATTATATGAATAATGATTATGGTCGAATTTTGACCAGTGGCGAACACTAGTCCATATTATTATTATTAATATTATAAATGTGAAAGTTATATGTGAGCATGTATGGATGTTTGTTACACTTTCACGCCAGAACGGGTGAATGGATCTGAATGAAATTTGGCACAGAGATAGATTATATTCCGGAATAACACATAGGCTACTTTTTATCCCGGAAAAATATACAGTTCCCGAGGGATAGATTTGTTTTTGTTTTTCGAGGGTGAGCCGCTAGTTTAAAATAATTGTACAATCATTGAAATAAGAAAATCGGTCTTGCTGCGCGGAATTTGTTAATGTTCCCAAATTTTGGCATCAAACGAAATTTACACTCTATTTATAATTGTAATGTGTATTCGAATTGCTCTTTTAATTCCGCATTGTTATGACTTTTCAACGTTTAACACTTGTATATAAAATTGATATAAATAATGAAAGCTAGATAATTCTGAACCTTTTCCCGGGTGGATCAATCGTAGAAGAAGAAGTAATGGGGAATTAAATAGTGAAACTTTATTGCGATCCTATTCGAACTTCTGCCACATCTGGTGCAATAACTTATCTATATATAAATAAACAAAGACAGCACTAACTCTCCCTCTCTGTTTGTCAACGTTTTCTTATTTAGTAGATATTGACGAGCTTTAGTGTTATCAATTAAAACATTTTGGAAACAGTTGTTTTTTTTTATATGTAATGATTATTGTCGAAATTCGGATTCCAAATAAATACGAGAGTGAATGTAAACTTCACATATAGACGACATGTTTGTATCAGTTTGTAGTGACCTTACTTGCTGTGCCAGCGGTCGCAGGTTCGAGTCCCGCTGGAATCATTTATTTGTGTGACGAGCACGTATGTTTGTACTCCAGTCATGGATGTTTATATTTATAAATATGTATGTATCAACTATCTGGTATCCATAACACAAGCCTCGTAGATTACCATGTAACTAGATGGTGCTGTGTGTTAATTTCCCAACATATTTATTTATTTATATTAATATTTATCCTTGGTGAAAAAGGAAACAACAAAGAGCACGTAAAACTATCGACTTTGTCCCGATTGTAAATCATTATTCCATCAAACTTGAGAATGATAGAATCGCACTCTACGTTCCCTGTAGCGATCCACACGCATTCTTTAATATCTACTGCGAATATCGCTAGTGTCAGTAATGGTTGCCCTGACGGAAACTTGCTATAGCTTTCTATTGCGTTTACATTATTTAGCTTTATTATAAAGTTAACTTTTAAACTTATATGTATATCAAGACAATTCCAAATATGGATTTAAAATCAAACACCTTATCCACGATTTAAACCCAAAAACTCTAGCACAGTATTTCTATTTCATACATGCCACATTAGACTTTGAAGTGTGTCATAAATTATGCCGATACTCGATAGTAATGAACGTCTAAAAAAAATTAATAGCTTTAAAAATTTATTAGCCATTATTATCAGATTTATTGGAAGATAAATAAAAATTAACACATATTTCACCGTAGTTCACAAGTAGTAGCCGTTTATTTATACACTAACGACTCACCCTTGCTTCGTTCGGGTTCGTCCCTAGGTGATTCTTTAATCCCTCCACAACTGCGGACACCCCGGGGTGTCAGTTAACAATAGATTTCTTAAAATTTGAATTGATTTCTTAGAAATTTACGTGGATAATTACATAACTTTTTTATTTATGATCCGATTGAAATAAAACAAACACAAAATGTTAAGTGAAGTTTACTACAATACATTAGTGAAAACCGCACCTAAATTGGATAAGCCGTTTCTGAGATTTGCGCGCACAAACGCACAAACAAACCGACAAACAGACAAAAATTCTAAAAATTATTGTTTTTGGTTCTATTGCGTTAATAGAGACCCCTAACAGTAGTTTTTTTTTCAAATATCTTCCATGTACAGACAGTGATCAGTTACATTTTTATTATATGTAGAGGTATAGATTATGCAAGCAACGTAACTCAGATGTTTAAAGTACGAAAACTTAAATTATAAATCTTGTTTCAGCGGCTATGGCAGCTCTTCCTATGGCACCGGGGTGCCTCATCGCCGGTTGGCTCATGGAGAAATTCGGAAGAAGAAATGCACACTATATGATCTGCGCACCTTTCTTACTTGGTTGGATCCTCATTGCCGCAGCTAACAACCTCGCTCTCATACTCCTCGGAAGATTCTTTACGGGACTTTGTGTTGGTCTCATTGGACCCTTAGGACCAGTCTTCATAAGTGAAACATCCAGTCCACAGTTGAGAGGTATTTTCCTCGCGGGAATATCTTTAGCCATCGCTTTTGGCATCTTTGTCGCTCACCTAATTGGTACTTACGTTCACTGGCAATGGACAGCTATCGTTTGCTGCATATTCCCAATAATATCTGTGATACAACTAAGTTTTATTCCTGAGAGTCCAACATGGCTAATTTCAAAAGGCCAAATTGAAGATGGCGTTAAAGCTTTCAGTTGGTTACGAGGCTATGATGATGAAGCTAGAGCTGAACTAAAAGCTATCATAGACAAAAGAAAAGCGGCTGACTTGGAACCTATACCAACTTTACGGGAAAAATTAAACAACTTAAAATCGCCAGAACTCTTGAAGCCATTATTTATTATGATTGCATTTTTTGTGACCTGCCAATTTTCAGGCGTCAACGCTGTTGCATTTTATTCCATAGAGATTATAGAGAAGGCGGTCGGCAAAGGTATTGATCATTACGTAGCGATGTTGGCGATTGACTCTTTACGTACAGTAATGTCGGTTGTAGCTTGTATAACTTGCAAGAAATATGGTCGTAGACCATTGTGCATGATTAGCGGAGTTTTCACTGCTTTATCAATGGTTGGGCTTTCCATGTTTTTATACTGGGCTGATGGAAAGCCAACCAACATGACATGGATTCCATTATCATGCCTGATGACTTACATATGTGCCATTTCGATAGGACTTGTTCCGTTACCCTGGATGATGTGTGGGGAAGTTTTCCCAACGAAAGTTCGTGGACTTGGATCCGGCATAAGTTCTGCAACAACTTTTGTTGCCTTCTTTATTGTAGTCAAAACCGCCCCTGGTATGATGAAAAGCCTTGGAGAAGTAGTGACATTCATGTCTTACGGTATTATAGCACTTATCGGTACTGGTATCCTATACTTTATATTACCAGAGACTAAAGGAAAAAGTCTACAAGAAATTGAAGATAAATTTAAGAGTGGTAAAATAAGCATAGCCTAATTTTTATTTATATTTTATAAGTAATTTAAAAAAAATATTTTAAGGTATTCCATTGAAATTTACTCGCTTAAAGCGCAATTTTTCGCTATCTGTGATATTATAGATTATAAAAAAATAATAAATATACATATGTTATATCGTAATCGTGATATTTTATTTCCCTCTTCCTAGTTATGTCATAAAAACATATTATAAAGGATCTTTATCTAAGACCAGCGACTTACCCTAGCTTTACTCGGTGCGCTCTAAAGTAAGTACGTTTTAAATTGTTTCACCAGAACCCTAATTCTTTTTCTAATATAAAAGTAGCCTAATAGTAGTAGTAATGGTTACTCCTTATGACAACAGAAACTCTCCCCCAGTGAAAGTCCTGTCAAAAACAATCCAGCCGTTTCGGAGATTAGCCGGAACAGACACAGAAAAAAATATTAAAAATTGTGTTTTTCTTATAAATATCATATATTTAGTAAAAAGCTATTATTTTGGCATTACAAACAGACACTTCAATTTTATTGATCAGTATAGAAGATGAAAAAAATAATTAAAGTGCATTCAGGCTTAACCATACTTATAAAGAGATGTACAAAAAACATAATGATTCCATGATTCATTCCCGGATGCCGCCGCCGTAGCATAATAAAAATAATAAGCTTTGACGTCCTTAAAAAAGTACAGAGATATTCAGTGGTGGGTCTGGTAAGAGTGTAAAATGGCATCAGGGTAACAACGTATAAACCAAAATTATTTACCGCCTAGTTGGGCTCATGTTTTGCATGAATTTGTGCATCAATATCTTTGTCCTTTAAATATATTTTTTTATCTATTAGATAAATTGTCTTTCTAATCCTATCAGACTGATTTTATAACTGACTATAAAAGTAAGTAAATAATATTTATACTTTGAGGGGTACATGGGTAGTCACTAGTCACAACCATGGATGTTACATTAAGAGTTATAATATCCTCTGCATAGTCGGTTAATGCGAGGGAGTTTGTGAAAAATTTAAGAATTTATCGATTTTGTTTTGTTTTTTTTACTATCCACCACAAAATATTGTTGCTATAATATTTTAGTAGGCGCTAACATCAAATATTAAACTAAACTAACATCAAAGAATAATTTTTTGACCTGCGGAGTAATAAAACGTGCTTTCAGCGCTCAAACAGCCAGGCAAGTACCACATTGCGCAACTACAGCCGCCGATATTGTTATTGCAATACATATAAATTAAATCTATACATATAATAAAATTCTGAGTCGAATCTGTACGTTAAATATTTTTTGTATAATTTTATTAATATAATCATTATTATCGATACAAAGGCCGATTCAAAAATTATGTAAAAGATCTTTATGAAATAAAACAATTTTTATTAACAAAATGCATATATTAGTTAACAAATTAATAAAAATGAAAATGGCACTGCACAAACCTGTTACTTACATAATATATAAATGCAGGACGGTACATAGAAACGAATAATATATACTAAATTCTTATTAAATTATTCAATACCATAAAATGGCACATAATTGTTATAATTGCTAGAAATTAGTTGATGTAAAATTATTTTGATATTTGTGTTAGATAATATTTTTATAATATAGGAACTCTGATTTTGAGCACTAAGCCTTATAAGATTGAAACTATAAGCAATTTCCTTCCTACTTTTTGCTAAAATTATCAAATGTTAAAACTTGTGCTCACAAAGTGCTCAAAATTCGTGTTCCTTCATAGTTAAGATGTTAATAAATGTACCAAAATCAAGCATTCGTCATTTATAACATCGCAAAACGTCAAACATTGTCTGTTCCGAATCTTTAATAAATAATAAAAATCGTTTAGATGGCTGCAATTCTTTAAACATGGTTTTACTTAGACCGTGGCTTAACAAGTCTAGATGCTGGTGGTGCGAATTTAGCGAAGCCTTGTTGATCGAAGACCGGTAGCAGATCCCTCACCCGAGCGGACACAGTTCCTCCCGTCACCCTAGAAACATATGCTCTGTGAACAAATAATTAATTTTTAAGGTGCAATCTATTTCTACAGTTGTGAATTTTAGTAATTTAATCGTCTTAATATGTATCTAAAGAGTTTTGAGATTAAAAAGTGCAATACACACATAGCACAGTGCAATAATAAAATTTCAGAAGTTCAGAAATCTAAGTGACTTATCAGTAAAAAAATAAGAGTTACATCTATTTTACAGATCACATAATACTATACTAGTACAAATGCCTCATTCCATGCAAAGAAATTGGTCAGCGCTAATTCGGGCTATTCTTCGGGCTATTTTTGTTTGCTCGAATAGATAATAGATGTCATTGATTCGTAAATATTTAAACTGTTTTGTTTTGTAAATATGTGAAAACTAACGTGTAGTAAATATTGTAAAAGTCATCCTGCATTCGAATAAAAAAATGGCAATTGTATCAATTTTTAACCGTGATAAACAATTCATAAAAAGTCAACGCGCCATCTATAAATATATACTACAAGCTCATCATCTGATTGCTGATACTTCAACAATCAGTAAAATAACGCAAGTTCGATTTACGGGCGCATTATTTCTTTCCCGTTCACTTACAATATTTTTTAAAATAATAATATACTTTTTGGGATCTTTTTTTCATGTATTGTTAATTTAACACAGCTTTAATAACAAATCGATACATGTAACGTCATCTATTGACATTTATTAGAACTAATTTTTCTTTTTTCGTGACGAGACCCCATAGGAATGTAATATATGTGTTCGAATATAGAACACTTCAATATTTGGACAGTTTTCAATATTGATTTGGAAATAAAAAGGGATTAAAAAACAAATGGATTTTACTAATAATTATCCAAATATTTCATTGACGACGAGTCTTTTTTTAACGTCTGTGTGTATCATCCGAGGTATTACGCCAAAGATCGCGAATTTAAGTCCAAAAAAACAATCTAGAGTTTCGTATAGTATACGTAAAGAAAAATTACCTATTTTGAAAAAAGAACCGTATAATTCTATTTCGTAGCTCATATAATATAAGATTCTATTCATCAAATCTACTAAAAGTAACACTCACCGGCTCGGTTTGATCAACTTAGCAGCCTGTGCGGGAGTGGCCAACTCTGTCGGGAAGTACGTCGCTCCATAGAAATCTAATCCATTCTGTAGCAGAATGTTTGCCTCCTCTATATTAGCTAATGTCACTCTCAACACACTCGAAGCCTCCTTGGGCACCATACTGCTGACCAGCTCGCCGTCGATGTTGGTGATGGCGCGGGGTGGTGTCTTTTCTATGGGTTTCGGAGTAGAAGTGCCTAAAATTATGTTGATAATATTTTGCTTCTGTTGGAATTTTGTATAACTATAGAATTAATTATCTATATGTATTAATATGTTTTGTGAATAATCATATGGAGTATATGGAATTTGTTCAGAATTATTTAGTATTTTTAATACTAAAATATTTTCATTTTTATTGCTATGACTTAAGATAAGTATTATATAATTGATAAACTATAGAAAAATAACGTGAAAACAACCAGTCTTTGCGTGTAAATAATCTAGATATCAATAAAGATGTCGCGGGTTCTATTTTATATACATCGACATGATTTATAAGCCATATAAACTTTATAAAGTTACCATTCTCTTAATACTGGTTGATAACATACTGTGTTTATGGTTTTAACTCAAAAAAAATATCATACCAGTATTTGCTTCACGTGGTGAACCAGCAAAGTGCAAGCGTACAACCTCGACTACCGAGGTGAACTTATACAGAGCGTGGCGTACATCTTCCTCTGGGACTTCGTCGGGGATATCGTAAACGTAAATTGTGAAGGTCTTTTGTGGACGACATGGGATTGCGATCTAGAAAAATCAAATAATTTCATGGCATTTTTAAATTAAAATTCTGAGAGAACGAGGTAAACAAAGGAAATATGAAATTGAAATAAGAGTTAGAATGGGACGGCGTTTTCTAAAATGTATAAAATACGAATGTACCAGGTAGTCGTTATCCTACCACAGAATAAATATAAAAAACATTTAGATTAAAATTAAAAAAATATATCTTCACCTGAGAAAAAGCGAGACTTCCCGGATCCAAATATAGATAAAAACCATCCAGGTGAGTGTATAAGTACATAAAAAATGTCATCAAATTCGGTCAAGCTTTTGCCAAGAGATTTAGTACATACGCACTAGTAATTTTATATAAAAATTAAGGATTTAATTCAACAGCTGCAGCATGTTAGTTAAAACATAAAATCATTCTCATATTTTTAGGTTAATAAATTATTAAATCATTATTAAATATGTAGAAGATAGCAGAAGAAGTAAGTAATACTTTATATTTGCCATATCAATAAATTAGATGTCAGATATTTTACATTTGAAATTAGATAATGCCAGATGAAGCAGTAACAGAAGCAGCCAAGAGATGAAGGGCAGAGCCTTACCTTTCTATAGAACCGCGATCCAGTGACCTTGTGGAAGCCTTTCTTGAAGACCATCTGATAGTCATCAACGCTAGAGAACTTGAACAGGATACCAGTTGCGGTTTTTGTAAGCGAAAAACATCCTTTGAACTCCATTTTTTCGCAAATAGCTGACGCTTTTTCCATGCTTAAGCCATGGGATGGTGTTAAGAGGAAAGCTCCTTTAGTGAGAAAGTGTTCCGAGTCCGAGATATCGGACTCGCTGTCTCCGCCCTTCATCAAGGTATGGATCTGCTCTTTCCACATGTATGGGTCTGACATCTGGTGAATTTTATTATTTATTTGATAAATGAAATAAACAACGAACTTTTGCAAAATTATATTTATAATTTACTTCGATATTTTATCCAATAGTTTGATAATAAAGTCAATAAATTACGAACAATTGAAACGAAATACCTTAAAGAAATCTAGATAGATTCGACACGGAAGTTGACTAAATGAATTCAATCTATCATTTGAAAGCACTTCATAAAAACAATGGCTTATAAATATTTGAAGACAGTAATAACCGGGATGGTCGCGGCTCGCTGCGTTTTCCCGACGATAATTGTAGCATTGTCTTTGCTTCCGTTAAAAATGTTACAGATACTTGTGAAAAAAGGAGTGGAACAGAAGAATTCTGACATGAAACTAAATCAATAATTATCAAATAAGCTAAAATTCTATTATATTATTTAGCTACTAGCTATAATAATACTAAATCTGGTATCTATATGTTTTATTTAAATACAAAAAATTGGACCAAAGTATTAGAATAGTTAAGTTTACGAAAGTGACGCACATAAAATTCATTTAAAGCAATCGATATAGTAAATTACAACAAAATTAGTTAACCGCATACGATTACACCATATAATTGTGTTAGTGGGTGGATAAGAACCAAATTGCTATCAATTGGTCCCACGACATCGTAAATCCATATTTGGTGAGATTGTTGCTGTAAAGTAATTTACTTGTTGCTCCAATTGATGGTAGACTTTTTAATTATTAGAGACGAAATTAATTAAATGTACTGGTTAGAGTTCAAAGTTATTCGTATTTGGTATACAGTCATTTTCGTTGTAATTGGACTTTTTGAGTTTCCTTATGCTTATTAACGACACTTCTTTTTCAAGACCTCAGTTTAATTAAAAAAATCTTTTTTTTTTCTTTTTAAGGAAACTTATATTTTTAAGAACAATAAATTGAAGTTATTCATATAACTTTTTTTTATTATTAAAATGATCAATTTACAGTTATTGTAAAAATCTATAATTATTTTAATTTTATAATTTGAAGTCTTACTTATAATTTTTTTACGTAATTATTATTCTATTATGGTCCCACTTCGGGCGCCAAAATATGCAAAAAAGTTATTATCTAAATCATGTTTTTATCTATGAATTTATATTTCATACTTTATATTTTTAACGTATCGCCCTGCACATGCTAAAACTTTAAAAAATCCGTAAAACGATTCGAAGCTTATTAGCTACTTCTTTTTCTATTTTGTCCCATATATCCTACTTTACTTTATAAAAAATATTTAACGGTCAATATCAGTACGGTAACAGTATTAAAATTAATTAGATTTATATATTGATTTTTAACTTACTTATATATACTATTTTATAAAATATATATATATATATATATATATATATATATATATATATATATATATATATATATATATATATATACGGCAAGTTAAAAATCAATATAATAATAATAACTGAAAACATATTATGTTCATACTACATACATAAATAACTTTTTCAATTTTATTTTAGAGAATTAAAAATATGTAATAAATAAAAGCTAATAAAGACAAAAGAGTAGAAGTTGTGTTTTTTTACTAAGCTTCACAGTGCTTCTCCTACGAATTATTACTAAAATGTATTTTGAAAAAAAATTTAAATATATTTTTTTAATTTTTAATTGTATACAAAATACAAGCAATTCACCTCGCTCCACTCGAGTTCGTCCCTAATAAAAATTTAGGGTTGTATGTATGTTTAATGGCGAATCATAAAAAATTTAGATAAAAATTGTTGTCCAATTCCATGTTGTCCAAATCGGTCATGTTGTTTCGAAGGAGTTTTTATTCAAACTCTGCGACACGAGAATTTTATATATTAGATTTAGTACTACTTCTAGTAATTCATCTAGTTTTTTTCTAGAATTTAAAGAGAAAAAATATTTCAAATAGAATATAGTAAATATAGTAATAGACATTTTTAAACTTATTTAAAAAATAACTTCTTTTATACAACACTAATTAATTATTGGCTTAGTATAATTTTATAAGACTTTAAGTAACATTACAAATTTAAATCTTGAAAAAAAACTTCACATACCGATCCTCGTGGCTTCTCACTATTCTTCTTGCTGTCAGCGTCTGGTCTGTGCTCTGTGTCTGAGGCACCTTCGGCTAAGGACATTTTGTGAGTGAGATACGCCCGCGAGACTCCCAGGTATACCACCGAGTGCACGGCGGACCGTGACGCGGCTATAGGAAGCTGTGGAGGGGTCTTACTCCTATACTTATTTGGTAATTGTCATTATTTAGACTATACATGTAGGTTTTTCTGTTACAAGAGTGTTATCGTGAATGGCTATTTCTGCACTCAAATTATATTATTATGAAATTTGACACCCTTTTCAACATTACAAAATCCCGCGGTTTGGTTTGAGCAACGTTAAGTCTTTCAGAACAATTATGTATGCATGTACATGTAAAATGTATTAAACTACTTTTCTTTTTAAAATAATTGACTGACTGAAAGGAATTTAGCTATTAATAATTCAAATATAGGTAACCACTAACCAAAACACCTACACACTTAAAAAAATGAATTTGTCCTATGCAAATACGCCCAGAAATCCTAGAGAGCTGTGCAATCACCTAAATAGATGATAGGATAGGTAGAACTTTTCATATTTTCTTAATCTAATCACAACATAAACACGCTCACACGACTTAAAAATTATTCAATGTACACTCTGATGCCCAGAACATTCTTACTATAGCAATAGCCTGTGGTTTTATCTGCCTTATAGGTAAATAATAATGTTTATAAATATAACCGAAACCTCCACTAGAAGTAATCAGAAAAATAAAACATCGTGTATATCTTGTATCGCATACTCTTATTTAACACCTGTCTGTCTGTATCTGCCCGTATCGTATTCAAGCTGATAATCAGATTACCAAAGTAGTGTGAGAATTTCAAAGACAAATAAATATGTATATTTTTTTTAATTCCATTTGTCAATCAATTAAAATTTAGATAGATTTATTATTTCATTGTCTAAGCGACTCTATAGATTTTGCACTACATTTTTGTTATGACAGGAACTCTTGTCATCTTTATGTTCCGATACAAGACATCATTTATAAGTCGCATAGTAACATGAGTTAAGAAAAAATGTTATTGATTTGTTTTAACAATTAAATTAATTCAATTCTTTTTTAATTTAATGGTTTCGATATTGTATGTCATTAAATAAAAAAAAATTGACTATTATTATACTTGGCAAATGTTGACAGATATCCTTTACCAATTACCATTCATCATTTGTCATCCAAAGTGAACAGAGAACATAATAATATAATAGCGGCGTTGGCGTGAGATAGTTTTATACACACATAATATTAAACACAACAGTGGTAGCCCAGCAGTAATCCGCTCACTTGGGAAACCAAGAGAAGCGGGTTCAAATCCCGGGTCTCACACCTCGTATATTTTCATGTGCGAATCATTTCCAACATGATTACCACTTGCCTTACGGTGAAAGAAAACATTGTGAGGAAACCTGCATGTCTGAGGGAGAGTGAGAGCCTGCTAGGCTTAGTTTTCCAAAGACATGTGAAATCCGCCAACCCGCTCTTGGCTAGCGTGGTGGACTATGGCCTGAATCGTGGATGATGCTCGTGATCAGCAGTGAGAGGTTAAAAAGGACTGAATACCATTTTATAGACTTTTACAGTGTAGGCACCTATGTACAACTTTTCTTAATGATATAATTTTCAAGAACTTTATTCTCAAAATTAGAACTTTGAAATCACTTGTGCTGGAGAAGACTTAGGAGGCATAAAAAACAAATGTTTGACAAGGAACATTATGTTTTTTTAACAACTTCTTATTCCTTCCCTCATCTTTCTCTTTCCAATTGGTTATTATCTTTTTAATTCGCTTTTAACGCAGTCAGTTTTTTTTTGTAATTCACGAAGACAAAGAAGGATGACGAGCTCTCCGACCATAGATAATCCACATGGCTCTTTGTCAAGAATAAATATCGAATTAATTTCAGCAGTACTCCATTCTGGTATTGCTACTGGAGTCTGGAATTAGAAGGAAATATGACGTTTTCCATAGTTTTTTATCATCTTGCTATAAAAACAGCGATGTGATATTAAGGGAATCTTCATCAAATGAATTTTGATGGAGAATTTCAATAAAAGCTTTAGATTAGAAGAGCTTGAAACAGATTCTAGAGTCGAATCTAGTAGAAGATAGCAAACCAGTACACGGGAAAAACTCCACAAGTCCTGCAATACAAAATATGCTAAAATAACAGCACCTACCCTGTGCGTATATATATAACTAAAATTTTTTTGTGAAAAACATTAGATTACTGTTAGAGTCAAAACTCTTTTTCAACAGTGCTTTTCATATATATATGCCTCTTCTGAAGCAAAACTACTAACGATTATGTTAACAATTGAAACGATACAAATAGATACTACTTATTTGAATATCTGTTTGGTGCACTTAAGATATTAGAATATCTAATCATACGACCAAGTACTAAATAACATGCTGAAAATGTTATCAACATAACGCGATTGATACAGATGTACTAAAGTTGTATAGTATAATAATGTAGATTAAACCTGTTAGATATTTAAAATAAGATGCCAAAATTATAACGTTCACGCAGCTGATAATAGCCTTATCGAAAGATTAAACCTAGAGATATAAATATTTGGCGACTTTTCATTTTAAGCCCATCTGTCGCTGAAGAAGCTATCATGAAGACCTAACAAGTATAGTTGTTGTGTAAGTGGAAATTGGAACGAGAGGAGATAGATCATGGGTTCGAAAATAACACCGTTTATGAGACAAGTGAGTTAAAACTAACTATAGGCAAAGACAAAACAACTCAGTGCCTTTTTCTCGTGTTTGTCTACCGATTTTCTTTTTGTTTTTTTTTAGTAGCTATTGACGAGCTTTAATGTTATAATATATTCTATTTATATAATATGTTTTCCTTAAATGTTCAATAATTATTGAGATCGAATTTCGAGAATTAGGAGATCACTAGTAATTATGAATAACTACCTTTTTTTGAAGTCAGTTAAATTATGATTTAATGATAATTAAGACTGTTATTTATAATTAATGATAATAACTATTAATTTAAATTAATTAAAAATTATATCATTCATTTTTACATTCAGTCAATATAGTTATATTTTTTGGTAAACCTTTCATTTGATACCTACTTGAAAATTAGTAATAAAAATCATAGATCGTAATTTTTTTAGTATTCTTATTTTGAATATTTTTTACGGAATGTCTATTCGTCTTTTAATAGAATAAATAAAAAAATATTATTCGTCCTTTATAAAATATATTCTATAATATAAAAATGAATCGCTGAATGTGTTGGTAATCGCAAATCTCGAGAGCAGCTGAACCGATTTCGCTAATTCTTTTTTTAGAATATTCCTTGAAGTAAGAGGATGGTTTTTACGGAGAGAAAAATTTAAAAAAATGCCTGAAAAAGACTAAAAACAACACTTTTCTATACTCCCATACAAAGGATTCGTAATAATACTTAAAAGTCAATTTGAATTATAATACCATACCATAAAGTTTAAGTGTTAGTGGAGAGGTTCCGGGAAGGCAAAACAATTGAGTGACGTAAATATATTTTGTCAATATTATTAACAAAAAAAAAATAAAAATTATATGGCTAATGCTGGCTAATAACTATTTATATCAATTTAAAACTTACCTAGCGACGAACCCGAGCGAAGCGAGGGTGAGCCGCTAGTAAATTATAAGAAGAACGAATAGACTAATAAGTAAGTAGAATATGTAGCTCTGCTCAGTTCGGTAGGTTAAGCTTCTGCTCCTAAAAATCATTTGTTTTATATTTGAAAACATAAAAAATGCTAAATATTCGTAAAAACCGACAATAGTCAGATGAATAATGTGTCTTTTATTCATCCGATTATCCGATTTATATTCCGATAATTTTTTATTAATAATTTTATATTCCGTTTTATTCTAAATTAAGTATGTTGTCCTTAGAAAAACTTGTAGCATAGTGCAAATGTATTTAAAATTGCTAGTATAGAATATGACTTATACCTATGTTGATCTTAGCGTTTTAAATTTAGCATTTTCGCTGTCATTTTCTTAGCATTTTCATTGGTCACTGAACTCGAGTCTCAGGTCGGGCGAAATAAATTTAATGGCTTTGTAACAATAGTCCACCATTAAATGTTAGCGGTATTATATCCACTGATTCGGAGATCAAGTAAAGTTGTCCCACCGGAGTTAAAGAGTAAAAAGAATAGCAATTGCACGATGCGCTTGCGCAACACACTTTACACCTACCTACTATATCTTCTACGCTTATGGCAAAATACTTTGATATTGAACGCCGTAAGAGAAATTCTGTTCTTTTCAAATTAATAATTTTATTGTTTTAATTGCCGTAATCAAAATAAAAACATGCTAACGCTACTGGTTAAGGTCGCCGTGACTGAAATCGGGTCATGAAGACATGTTGCTGTAATGCATATAATACTATATTTGATCCTATTATGTTTTGCTACTATACGGACCCTGGTCACACAATCGTTCGATAAAAAAATTTTTACTACAAATTTATTAACTTATAATAAAAATAATACAGTTGAGTACTTCTCCATATCTAAAACATTGTCGGTGACCATTGTTAAGTTTATGAAGTCCTTGACTCAATATTTTTATGTTTTGAGATTTTCATGTAGGAATCTCATTTTTAATATGTTTATTACTTACAAGGCAGTCGCCAATGGTAACGCACTCGCTTGGAAAAACTTACAAAGGAAGCGGGTTCAAATCCTGAATCTCACACCTCTGATATTTTCATGTGCGAATCATTTTCAAAATAAATACCACTTGTCTTACGGTGAGAGCTGAGAGAACTTAGCAAGTTTTCGAAAGATTTGTAAAATCCGCTAACCCTCACTTGGTCAGTGTGATGGACTATGGCCTAATCCCTACTTATACTAAAGGGAGGTCCACCCCCAGCAGTGGGACGTTAAAAATGGTTGTATAGAATATGGCGAAGGAAAATATTGTGAGTGAGACTACTTATATGAGGAAATTTAAACAGTTTTCGAAAGACATGTAAAGTCCACCAAAACCTCCACCTCCTCCTCCAAGAAGACCCACGCCCAACATTTGAGATGGAAATAGTTAAATGAATTAAAATACTTGTAAAAGTTTTTTTTTTTAATTTTCTTAGATACAAAGAGTAACTTTCTATCATATTACAGTGTTTCGTGACCACGGCAGTCGGATTAAACATCATCGGGATGGGTTGCGGTCTTGGTTTCCCAGCCATTTTATTGCCACATCTACACGAAAAAAACTCTGAAATACCGTTGACTAAGGAAGGCGAATCATGGATAGGTAAAATACACACACACACACACACACACACACACACACACACACACACACACACACACACACATATATATATATATATATTTATATATATATATATATATATATATATTTATTATATATATACTAATATACTACGAGTAAAAGTTGCTAACTCTTATCTTTAAATTAAGTTAGTAAGATGTTAAATATGTCCAAAAATATATGTTTCTAGCTACAATTTTTTTTGCAAAAACTAATAGGTAAGTATTAGTTATCCTTTTATAGTGGGGATACATTATTTAAAGTATGGCTCATGGAATTGAATATAGGTATGCGTTTGTCTAAAGGAGACAACCGAGTTTTACACCAAATTAGTTCATTTTTAGTTATTGCCATTTGTAAATACTTACTTATTGTTTTCAGTACATAGGATCTGTACGTATTGCTTCTTTAAAATATATTAGTTTTGATTGCTTCCCTTGTTGCACTTTCTAGCGGCCACAGCTGCTCTGAGCATGCTCATCGGGACCGTACTTACATTGTCTATAATGGATCGCTTTGGACGTAAAGCTACCCACTACATGCTCACAATACTGGCCATCATCAGCTGGTTCATCACTATTTTGGCCACTAGCGTTGAGGTAAGCCTGTTCATTATCTATACGTACATATAATAAAATTGTAACTAAGCCGAATGTGTACATTAAATATTTTTTGGAAAATCTTATTGAAATACACATTATTATCGATACAGAGGCCGAATCTATAGTTTTTAGAATTTATATCTGTCTGTCTGTCTGTTACCGCATCACAGAAAAACCACTGGAGGGATTTTGATGAAATTTGGTATAGTGATAGCTGGTTATCCGGGTCAACATATAGGATACTTTTTACCGCGGTAAAATGTCTCATTTCTGAGAAAAAATACAAAAACTGCAATATGAGAGTATACTAATATGGAAAACTTAAGAATTTGGTTTTTGGTCATCTGAACGAGGGCGGAGCCGCGGGCAATGCTAGTTTAAAATATAATATCCATGTAAGTAATCTCCTAATGAATATATTTTGACTGCCAATTTTGATACGTGGAAGATATAATATGTATAAACGTGTTCGTTGTGATAATAAATAAACGTGTAATAAATACAGGTGCATTTATTTCCTCATAGTGACAATTAATTCAACACAACCGATGAGAGACCAGTTGCCGAGTCGACGATCTTTCGTGATAACTGAGGCTCTCAATTTCGAGCTGACCTAAGTTTTGAACCTAATTCGGGACTAACATATTATTAATATAGCAGTTAAATATAACATACGATAAATACGACTCTAGTGCTTATGTATGACGTTTTTCGAACAACATTAGAGACTTTTTGACTATATAAACGATTTGTCTCGCTGTGGTTCGAAGAAATCACGAGAAAAAACGAAACAAAAAGTAAGGAAAAATTAACACTTTAAATGTAGAGATCACTTCCAGTTCATCAGAAAATATTATCGAAATAACAAAAATTACTCCTTTTCAATTTTATGTGAAAGGGCGACATCGATCGCGAGTTCGAACCCATTTCGTCTTATCAGACGAAGTCTTGTATTTGTACTGTCGCCTGACAGACCTTGCACGGATATCAAACATGCGATCTTATCATAGCGGTTCGATAAGAGATACAAATTATACAATAGTACCTAATTCTTATCAAGTTATCATTTTTATGCTTTACTTAATGACTCCGTTTTTTTTGCTGAGAATCCATACTTTCGTTTAATTATATAAATGTTGAAGTAACTGTGTGTCTGTTTGTTATCTTTTTACTCTTGAATCATTGAACAGATTTCGATGAATTTGGCAAGGATAGAATATGAGAAAGAGAATAAGTGCATCATGAGGGCAGACATACGTTACTATTTACTCCGTCCCGCATAGGTAGGTACCTACCTTGCGATCAGAACCTTTGGTAAAATCTAGTGCGTTCAGTAGGTTCATATTCAGATGAAAATACATACTATATTTCTCTTTATTTGAATAATTCAATTCAATGGTTATATTTTTCATTTTCAGGCTCTGATCCTAGGAAGATTTATATTCGGGATGTCAGCCGGCATGCTGTTATCGCTGCGATCTATCCTCATTGGAGAATACACAAGCCCTAAAAATCGTGGCGCCTTCCTCACTACCGTCTCTCTAACTCAAGCATTTGGTATATTTTTTGCCCACCTCTTAGGTTCACTGATCAGCTGGCAAAAAACTGCCTTAGTGTGTCTCTTTTCCCCATTTCTTAGCCTGGTTATGATCATGTATACACCAGAATCTCCTAGTTGGTTAGTATCCAAAGGCAGGCACGACGAGTGCAGGGAAGTGTTTCGATGGCTTAGAGGTTCTGAAGAAGATGAAGAGCTGGAAGACATGATTGAAGCCAGAATTGCGTACGAACAAGCTATTGTAAAGGCCCCGAAAGATAGTCATTTGCTTAAAAAGTTATCCATAATCATACGTAGGGGAGAATTTTACAAACCCATATTGATTATGATCTACTCAAACGCGATGTTGCATTTCTCTGGCGGGACCACGATGGCTTCGTACTCTACGGTTATCCTTAGCTTGTTAATGGGACCTAAAGCAAATGTGCATTTTTGGATGGTATTTTTAGATACTCAAAGAGTTATTTTTAATACGTTAGCTGTTTACGTGATCAATAAGACAAAACGACGAATCATGGTGTTTTCGACTGGTATGTGGTCTGCTGCGAGTCACTTTGCCATAGCAATCTATGTTTACTTCAGACTGAATGGCTGGGATTATGATGCTATCTGGTTGCCGGCCTTGTTAGTCAACGTGCAGTACCTAGCTGTAGCTGTTGGTACAGTGCCGATGCCTCAAGTGTTAGGGGGCGAAGTATTCCCACTGGAATATCGAGGCATTGGAGGATTTATCAGCATGGTAACAGGAAATGGAGTAATGTTTTTGGCACTTAAAACATTCCCTCGCCTGGTAGACAAAAGTGGTTTGCAGGGAACCTATATTGTGTATGGTGTAATTATATTAATTAACTTAATTTTACTAATGGTATTACTGCCAGAGACAAAGGGTAAAACTCTACAACAGATCGAAGACGAGTTTAGAGGCAGACCGTTGAGGCGGGAAGAGTTGGAGTCCAAACAGTCACTACAAGCTAATCCAATTGAAAATTATAAAAGAAAGATGTCATCATTAAGCTTTGGCAGCTCTACGATTCTGTGATAATTAACTTAGTGACAATTCTCAAATGAATGTAAAAAAGCGAAAATTGAATATTTTTGTGCCTATGCGATAGTAAACTAAGTCTTTCTTGAGGCTGTAGAGCTGCATACCGTAGAACATCAATATCTTGGACTATATTGTTCTACGACAGGAGAAAAATGCATCAAAATCAATATAGCAATTATAAAGATTAATTCAGACAGACACAACATTTATGTATGTATGTATGTAAGACTTGGTAAACAAGATTGAGAAATGGAAGTATTTAAACGTATTGCTTGTCGCTATTTATATGTATATCCCACATCTAAAATAAGATACCAACATTAAAATAAAGCAATAATAAGTAACAACGATTTCATTTCAACGAGGGTAGTTGGAAAAAAAACCAAAGGGTATTTTTCAAATAATTCTCTATATTATTTGGTACACAATAACCGTCGCTGTTCAACCGTACTGGCGATACGAGCTCAATGATTAATATAAAACAATTCTATACCAGCCTCTCCCTCCGGTACGCTTGCACAGACGACACTAACTAACTGTACATGTATACATTCATCCTGGAAACATCAGATCGACATAACTAAAGTGCGTTACAATGCCTTATAAATAATATTGTACATAAACAATTTTGATATTTGATCGGTATACAGATTTGTCTTCTCTATATTATAATAGCGATAAAAGCTCCAAAAATAATAAGTTATAAAACCTATAATACTCTACCTTAGTCAAGGCCGTGAATATTTTAGGTGTAAAATACATAAAAACTTGAAATATTCATTAAAATAATATTTTGCTATAAAGCTATACATTAGTAATTACTAAAATAACTTTCCAAATATATCTTATCCGATCAAATCTGTACAGGCAAAGAAAATAGTAGAAGAGCGTCGAATATTGCAAAGTTTATATTACGCTTCATTCATATGCAGAGATCAAGCTGGATCGACTAACTTACAATACAGCCATTGTTAATAAATAACTCGAATGGTTAAAAAAATCTTAGAAAATAATTTAAAAATAACTCATTATCGCGAACTTTATATCGATTCTTAAAAATCTAGAAAAACTTGCAAATCGAATAAAATAATCAATTAAGAAAAAAGCATATGTATTTTAAGTTAGTTTAGCGCAATGTTATCACGTTTTATAAAATAAAAGCAAAAGTTTATATTTTAAACAACTATATTATAGCTGCTTATTGTTAAGTTGCAAAGTATTTACAGTCATGGGCAGTTTCCCCACTAGCTGGCAACCTACAACGAAAATGTATGGAAACCATCACTGGTTAGTCGAAACCCCATGTTCACTCTCCGGCTAGAGAAAGAACGCCCATAAACAAAACCCTTATGGAAATATCAAAAAACAAAACTACCCACATAACGAAATTTTTGAGATTTGACCATTAAAAGAAATTATTATTAATATTGATTTATTTAAATAGCACAAATTAATATAACAATGTGTACATGCAGCACTGAAGCGAGTACAATCTGAAAATCAAAATGAAGCTGAACATTTACCTAAGGCATACAAACTCTCACACGCTACATACATATTTAATAATTTTAGATTAGAAAATTCTCTATAGATTCCGTTTTAAAAAAATATTTACAAAATTTTGAAGACCGCACTCACTTATATCAAAACACTTCACCGTCGTATAGCCATATCCGTTACATATCAACATTTTACAAGAGTCCAAAATCAAACCTATACACTCGCCAATGTTTTACGTTCATTTTATCAATACATAAATCTTTCCAATGAACTTGTACAAATAAATTTTATTACAGTTCATTATTAGATATTATTTATTTTGAATATTTTGCGACAATCCATTGTTTTTATATTCCCTATATGATACATTACACATCCTGAAAACCTTTCCTCATTAAATTAACGAATTATAGTCTCGTCATAAGAATTAAATTGTTTAAAAATATAAGTGTTGTCTGTGGCTCCAAGCCCACAGACAATCATTATGATAGGCAAATTAGTTTTAAAGTACTAACGTTTCAACGTTTTGTCTATATTTCTAAGAAAATATACTTCATTAAAGTCAAAATAAGAAATAAAAACGTCCTATTCTAATAACGTTCCTGCTCCCAATATTTCTCAAATCTCAAATCAAAACCCTTCTAGTTACGGTCGTGAAGAAGGAAATACTACTCTCACAACATTGAATATGGTGAACTTCAAAGTGAACGCTAACACCGATGACATTATAACAGACAACATGTATAATTTTAACTTATCTATGGTACGTCAAATTTGACATTTAACTGACAGATCACAAAAAAACTTTTTTTTAATTACTTAAGAAAAAATAATATAATTAGTTATGCTTTCAGTCGGCGGACTTGGTTGAATTGTTGTAAAAACAGAGTGCATAATTAGCATAATTAATAATATAAAAATTATACTATAATACAAGAGTATGATTTTAATAAATTATTTTTTATTCATGAATTTTTCTTTTTAAAATGCGGTCTTACCCGGCGTAGTGCAATGTAATGCATTCATATTCAGCCATTTCTAGTTTTAAACTTTACGTTAACAATATAATCTGTATTGGTGTCACAACAGATTAAATAAGAAAAGAGTTGAACCGATTTCACATTTAAATGTTATTTTTTATCTGTTACAATTGTAACCGTCGATTAACAAATATAGACAATATTTAATTAGAAACAACACGTTTTGTATATTTTTTTTACAACAAACATTTAAAATGGCCTAAAAAGATGTTATAAAATGCACCTTGGCACTATGTTAAGGCATACAAGCTCATTTCATTCATTTCTTACCAAGATGACGTTTTTACGTTGCTACATATTTTTTTGCATCTCTTATATTACAAAATTATTTACAACACAGTTATATTACAACACCATTTTAATATATTCTGTAGCTAACTTCAGACATGTTGATTTATCAACGATGTTATTTAATAAAAATATATTGTGTATTTAATTTCCACCAATAAAATAAGCTTAAAAGAGAACAATAAAGTAAGGAATTTGTTGGATCGTTTCTGGATGGATTTCTATTAAGCAAGGGTTCATACAACACTGACTCTAAAACATTGACATGTATAATAACAGTATGTTTCCTTAACTTCACTATGATTTTATTATTAGAATTATTTAAATCTAGATTTTGTCATTAAATTAAGACAGATATTATAAAAAGAAATCCAAGTTCAAGACTGAAGGTCTTAATAATTCAAGTAAAAACTAATATTTATTAAAAAAAAAAGATGAAAACTATAATTGTATGATATTAACTTTTAACATAGATTTTTTTATTTTTCCTTAAGGACTGCTATTTGTTTTGTTTTAGTGTTTTCTAAAGCCCATTTGAACGATGGTGTGCATTTTAATAAACTCTATATTCGCAAATTAGAAGTTACATCCCTTTTATGTTAGTTTGAAAAACTTGTGATATATTAGATAACTAGCGCACAAATGCACACACAATCAGATGGAAAATCTAAAAATCATTGTTTTAGGTTCTATTGCGTTAATAAAGACCCCCAATTATAGTTTTTCTCAAATATCTTCCATGTACAGACAGCAATCAGTTACAATTTTATTATATGTATGGATATTTTAGTGCTAAATGAATTATACTTTCAACTTATTCTGTATAATACATAAAATTACTAATTTGTTAACAATTTTTTATAATAAGTACCAAAAATTATATGAGATTTGTAATGAAAAGCGTTTTTGCGAAACTGAATATTAACCCTTTTGCAGCACTTTCTGTACAACAAAGTTTATGAATAATTCGGTATTCTCCACACAAACACAATGCACACATGCATTCATGACGACAAATCTTTTCACATTTGTTCATGATTCCAAACTTAAATAACAACGTCAAAACTAAAACGACTCAACTCAAATTTAACCAAAGGCAATTGTTAAAAGAACGCAAATATTTCAAATTAAAAAAGAAACAATTTGAATTAAGTCTCTTAAACAATGACCATTGAAATTTTAAAACTACTCATAAAAACCATTGTTTTATTCAATCTCTTTAGAACAAAGTTATAGAAAAGTGGCACTTTTAAGCCAGCAATGAATCTTTTTCTTTTTGTCAATTTTTTTATCATATCACATATGATAAAAAAATTGATTAAAGATACAAATTTATTTGAAAATCAATGTACCTTTAATAAATTCTCATATTATATCATCACATTACATAGGGTCTTAAATAAGCGATAAACAGAACAGTTAACACCGCACCTGAAAATATCACTTATAAAAGACGAATATATTCAAATGTATAAAAGGTATCTTTGAACAATACTTTTTGTACATATACTTGATTGTAATTTTACATAAACATATGCAGTGTCACATTGCACATAGTAAGTACAGCGTTCAATGTCAGATAGTGTGAGTTCGGTTCTCAGCATAAATATATTAGTAATGCTTAATTGTAAATTGTAATTCTCATTTGGCAATGTGTCTCACATTTCACTCTGTACATCAAAATATTGCTTCAAGTCTACTAATGCATATGTGTCTTTAAGCAATATTTTATTGTAAAGTTTTACTAGAACTGACTCAGTCTCAGTTGACATAACAAACCTCACGCCGACAAAGTTCAAAAGGGGTATAGTATTTTGTGACAGTTAGTGCGAGTTCGATTAGTAAAAAAATGAAACATTTCCATGTTCACATCCAAAAAGCTTATAATGTACAGATCACATCACCACTTACAAGAGTACATCATATCCAGGGGCTCAGGTTCTGTTTTCATGTACATATCCACAATATTATAATTTACATCGCGTTATATATTTCACAAACTTTTACACAGTCCATGCGGTTATAATCACATTTCACTACATCTGGATAGTCAGCAAGTCGCACTATATGGATGAGAGCGGGACGTTCAATGTCGTGCACGTTGTCCGGCGCAGGAGCCGCACACGTAGTCGTCGTCTTCCCTGAGCGCGCTCAGGCTGAGGCCTACGCAATGCAGGTGGAACCACTGGTCGCAGCCGCCATCGCATTGAACCCAGTGCACCTTACCTGTTTACATACAATAATAATTAAAGTTTATAAATAAATAATAATGGGCAGAAAAATGAAATTATATCTAAAAATTACAATGTAAATAGTTAGATGTAATTAGTTTAATTTTTTTGGTAAAAATAAATAATATTAAAATTGATAATAGAAACCCTAGTCAATTAAAGAATGGAAATGTGCTAGTCTCTCGTTACTTAATTCCAAATAAAGACTTTAAGAAAGATGGTTACATCAGTTACAAACATTACACAATATCAACAGTTATCAAATCCTACATGTACAGTTTATGTTAATGTCATTTCCTTTGAGGTGCAGTGAATAGATATCATACCATTTTCCTCAGCGGGTGTAATACCGCCAACTACCTAACTCTGAGCTGTTACTGAGAATTTTTATACAAAAAATCTCAATATCATAATTTGGCACGACGCGGAACTCGAACCCAGGATCTCAATGTCAGTGGCTATCAGCATATGTGGCAGTGATGAATTATAATAATGGTGATGGTGCATCACCATCACTGATGATGATGATGGTGATAATTACCAATAGGGCGCAAGCAGGTGGCGACGGCGCAGTCCTCGTCATCATCAGCCGAGGAGTGGGAGGAGGAGGAGGAGCGGCGCGCGGAGCTGGCCGCACTGCGCATGGCCGCGCGGCTGCTGGTGAGCGTCGCGCGAGTTTGTGCTGTGTGGACAAAGATTATATATTGTATTATTAAAAAGAGATACACACAGACGAACATAGAACCTCCTCCTTTTTGGAAGTCGGTTAAACCATATAAAATTAAAGCTTGTTTTTTATCATTTTTAACTTTTGACCAACTAAACCAATGAATGAGGCTCGTTGTAATGAAGTGAGATTAAACTCGTTAACTTGCTTTAACTCGTTCCATCATGACACGAGCTTGACGATATTGAATTGTCATTGGGTCTTCATATACAATTTCAAATAGGTATGACATACAGTAGAAAGTAGGATAAAATCAACACTCACGTCACAGGGCCTATGCAACTGTCGATGCGCAGTGAACCCATTGCATACGTGGACGATGTACATTAATAATATGGGAGCCATCGCTACGTGTATTCTACATGATGTATGTATATAAGCTCTTAATTACATACTATAATTAAACGTCACGGAACAGTGGTAGCCCAGTGGTAATGCGCTGGATTGGAAAACCGAATGAAGCGGATTCAAACCCCAGGTCTCGCACATCAGATATTGTCATGTTCGAATCCAACATGATTATCACTTACCTTACGGTGAAGAAAGATATCGTGAGGAAATCTGCATGTTTGATATAACTTAGCAAGTTTTCGAAAAACATGTGAAGTCCGCCAATCTACACTTGGTCAGTGTGGTAAACTGTGGCATGAACTCCTCGTATTGAAGGGAGGCCCGTGCTCCAGTGGGGCATTAAAAGGACTAAATACCTGAATACAACAGCAATAACATACCCAGACGCGACTGGCGGGAGTGGTGGCGCGCGGGCAGGCCCCGCTTGCGGCGCTCCTGGCGCGCCATGTAGTGTTTGCGCATCATCAGCCCAGAGCCCGACGACATGCCCTGCACACACGAAGCATGTTATAAATTGTTGCCTTAACTATAGTTCACTTTGACATTTTAAATAAAACTACCTTTTTGGATTTTTTGGCGGATTTATTTAGATTTTTGCTTCTCGACGTTCCGGGGACAGTCTCTGCCGTGACCATGATTAGCTTTAAATCATTCGAAACGTCGGGAACCAAAAATCTAAATAATTCCGCGAAAAAATCCGAACAATTGTTTTATTTAAAATTGTCTATGGTTGTCCTAAATATACAATCATGCATAATATAAAATTTTAGATAAAAATTTAGATATTTTTTTTATCTCAATTGGGGATAGTTGTACTGAGAATTGATTTAATAGTAGATGGAAGTTAATAATATAAGATTTTATAAGAAAAATTAAAAAATAAAACACGTTTTTATATTTTCTGTGAAACATTATTGTCATACCTGTTTTCTATTTAAGTAATTCGTCGTAGTAGCTGAGCCTCTTTTTATCGTTGTCTTAGTGGTACTTGTGCCTAAAACAAAAATATACTTATTTATATATTTAAGCAGCAAAATTAATATTAAAAAATTATAAGACTGTAAAGGTTCCATTGAGTTTTAGTGGGTAGTACTGGCTTGTCTAACCCAAGATTAAAAACTACACATTTGCGGTTTTCGGAATTTTTCCTTTACTTTAAGACTTAAGACATTTTTTCTTGCCAAATTTCTTAATTCTAGATCAACGGTAAATGCCGTATAGATTTTGATTCTCTTGCAAGCCTGCTTCAATTAGCATCCGGCAAGCATCCTAGTCCGGTGCGAAACCAAGAAACACACTGGGAGGAGGCCCCCTTTTGGGTTGTTCCTGGTACTTCTCTGACAGCAGAGTAGACCGTGGAAGCAATCTTTTAGTGGGTGATGGTATGCATTTAAGCATAGATATACCATCTGTATGTAGTATGTACATATCAGTGGCGAAGGGTGAAATTTTAGCAGAGGTAAGCCGTTCCAAAAATATATAATTTTTAAATACGGAAATACAACATTTCCCAATATTAAAAAAAAAGCTATGTCTCACCGTGCAGCGGGCGCGTGCGCTTGAGCGGGTGGTGCTTGGCGCGCGCGGGCGGCGGCGCGCGCTTGCGGCGGCCCGCGTCCAGCACGCGCGGCGCGCGCCGCCCGTCGCCCGCACGCGCCGCGCACACCGCGCTCCACACCGCCGCCTGCTCCTCCAGCCGCACCTGCCGCATAAATGCATTGCTTATTATATCTATTGTCATGTTTGTGAAGGGACCAAAAATGAATAAGTTTTGGAAAGAGTAAACGATATGGGAGCATCCCCGAATATGTGTGTGTCATTTAAAGAAGTAAATTTAAGAGCTCTTCGAGTATTAAGTCATGAGTATGTATTCAGTTCTTTTTTTTAACGTCCCACCGCTGGGCACGGGCCTCCCTTCAGTACGAGGAGAATCAGGCCATAGTCCACAGTCCAAATCATGAGTAACGTAAGCAATTGGCTGTGAAAGTAGTGAAAAAATGGCTGAATTTTAGTGCACATTATGGTTTGACATGAAATAGAATGATATTGAACAAAAATTAACTAATTCTAAATTGGAAATTGAAACGTCGCGGAAAATAAAATTAAGATAAATACTGCAAGTGTTGCAGAAGATCCTATGCTGGTTATCGCACTTCGGGTCATATGCACAACGTTGGTAAACATACAGCATTCCCAAAGAAGGTTTATGTCAGACAGGAGGCCGGCCGTAAAACTTTTGCCAAAACCGACCAGCAGTATAGTAGACGTACTGCGCCGACCCCAAATAATTTGGGAAAAAGGTAGGAAAAAAAACTCTATCGTGATGTTTGAACGTAGAAATTATGCGACTGTATGCTAAACGAAGACTGATTTATTTTCTATAGGCACCCTATTCGTAAATGAATAAGGTTTTCGTTACGTTTTTTAACCGGTTAAACCCCGAAGAACGGTTTTTGAAGAATTTAGGTTCCATAATCGAAATTAACTGGTTAAAATGAGTTTTTGCGCGTTTACATTTGGGGAATCTTTGCTTAATTGTCAGATGAGTTTCTTATGAATTAATTGACCGGTTTATTTCGGCATCAAAATTGAAATCCAACCTTTCCCTAAGAATAACCGTTAACCATTTTTATTTGAGTTTACTAAACCGGTTGAAGAAGAACGAGCGATGAATTATCCATTACATTGCTGAAGGAAAACCTGTCTTTATCCGGTTCCGTGCCCTGTAATAAATAATTATCTGTGTCAATCCCCCTCACCTCCAACAGGTCCCCCTCCAGCATGAGCTCTTCCAGCTTCTGCAGCAGCGCGGGCGCCACGCGCGCGGCGGCGCTGCGCGGCGTCGCGCTGTACGCGTGCTCCACGCTCGCTGATGACCTGTCACAGTAAAATTATTTGTAAAAAATTTGCTGTTTTGTAAAAACAGATATTATTTTTCCTTTTATTACAGAGTAATAGTGAAATTCAATAATAGATAATATTGATGTATAGTCAAAGAAATTATGAACTCAAAGTGAATAAACAAAGATCCGGTTCCACATATAGTGTTAAGATGTTAATCCATAGATGACTATGAGCCAGCATGTAAACACTATGTTTTATAAGTTCCATACATTATTTGACTTACAATAGAACTCTAAAGTCAGTATCCAAAACTGTACATCTTGCTCACTCTTCTTACAATATCTATTCTATCTCACGAAGACAGGATAAATATGAGGACAATGCAGGGTATGTGGGTGCGATGAACCCAACTGTCAAACTAACTTTTATATGACATTCGGGAAACGGCTTTAGGGTTGCCACCGTTCACCATGAATTTTACATAACATGATATTTTTGACAGACCTTGCATTTGTCGGAATTTTCGTTAAGGGACCGTTCAAGTATTATGTAAGCATATTTTAATAGTTTAAGACCTGCTTCTCTTCCTGTGAAAGAAAAAATAAAAAAATCACATACGAGGGTACCCCCCCAAAAATAACATGGCGTTTTTTTTTTGGATTACATGTTAATTCACAGTTTATGAAATAACTTTGAAAGTTTAATAAAATATTTTTAGACAAAGTCGAGTGTAATGTAGTGACGTACCTGGGCGCGGGCAGGTCGCGGTCGCGGTCGCGGCGGTCGCGGCGGTCGCGCGGCGGCAGCGCGGCCAGCGCAGGCGCCGCCAGCATCGCGCGCGCCGCATCCTGCCACGCCATGGCGCGCTCCGTCACGCACTGCAGCGCCTCGCCCTCCGCCAGGCGCACGGGCAGCTTCTGCAGCCACACCTGCGCACGCGCACACAGGTACACGATGAGTATTATAATATACTAGCGACTCACTCTCGCTTCGCTCGGGTTTGTCCCTAGGTTGCTTTCCCATAAAAACTTTCACCCCCACTTTCATCTCGTTAAGGGATGATTTCCGGGATAAAAAACTATCCTATGTCCTTCCCAGGGTTTCAAACTATCTACTTACTAAATTTTATCTAAATCGATTCTGTAGTTTTGGAGCCTATTCGATACAAACAAACAAACAAGTTTTTCCTCTTTATAATATTAGAATAGATTACTTAAAGAAATTTATAGAAATTTGCCTTTTTATCATATAATCCTTCGCTTCGTTTCAGTGCGTTCCTAAGTAGCTTACTACAGCATATATGTCACTCCTGTTTGGTGTTGTAGTTATAACCTATCCATGTACAAAATTCCATCCAAATCCATCCAACCATTTTTATGTAATTGTAAAGGAATAACAAACAGACACATATGTTTCAGATTTACAATAATAGTCCCATTATGGCATTTCACATTAATTATTTAGCGCTCGGTAAGAGTATAATTATAATCTGATCAACCATTCCAGAAATTACCAAGCCAATCAACCAACCAAAACGTTGTATGGTTGCAAGGTCTAACGATAGGCATACAAAATATTTTTATCGTTGTTTGAGAAAATAAAAAACACACACACAAAATGAAACAGTATAAAAAATGAATAAAAACGAAACAGTAGCATACCAATAAAGCCAATATCCGATGCAAACGTGGCCGCTTGGTCCGCGTGCAGTCTGGGCAGAGGAATTTCGTCTCAGTACAGGGGAATGGTAGCTCTATCCTGTCCGGTGACTCTTCCCTGTCTTCCGTATCCTCGCGAGCTGATGCTACGCATGATGCTGTAACGAAGGCATTATTTTAGAACATTTCTTTCTTTTTAAAATCTGTAGATATATCAATACGTATAATAATAATGTCCTCCAGACTGATTTCGGCAACGGTAGCCTATCTATTTGAAATAACTACGTAGGAGTTATTATTGTATGTTAGTGTGAGAGAGTACCCAGGCACAAGTGCACTCTCTATTCCTGTAACTCTCAAGCTCAGGTCAGATCTCCTCGTTACAAGAATAAAGCACCCTAAACTTCTAACTCCATCCAAGGACTCCCAGGACTCGAACATAGAACCACTACATCTGCTGCTATAAATGCAACCCATACACCAATGAGGTAATCACCTATTAATATAATAATAAACAGCCACTTATATGACTTTTTATTTTGTTTCAGTGAATTATTAATAGAATTGAACCCAATAACAAAAAAAACCTCAATCGTACCATGGAACCAATCCTTGCACAGCTCGCACTGCGTCATGACCCCGTACTGCCTCTTCTGGCAAAGGCAGAACGTGACGCCGGCGGTGGGCGGCGCTCGCACTTCTTTACGCATATTCTTTGTTCTGAAAAATAATTAATGTATTTAAATTATCCTTGAAAATAGAAAATAAAACATGTATTTTTATTTTGCTTTTAATTTTAAGTTATGAAAAATTCATAAAACTTAGTTTTTTCTTATTACATCTAAAAACATCTATATTAATTTATATAAAAAAGAAGACTGTGTGCTTTTTTTCTTTATTTGAATCTGTGGAAGTACCAGTGTGATTTGAAAAATTCTTTTTACATTTAATAGCTTAACAACACGCTACGGTCCTTAGAATGCGCAATAAGAAATAAACTACGCGGGCGGAGCCAGAGGCAGTTCTAGTTTGCTATATATTGAGATTCATGCTTCATGTACATATATTAAATATTAGCAGAACCCGCGGCTTCGCACGCGCTTAAACTACAAAAAACCTCGAAAAAGGTAGGTACCTTAGTTTCATACAAACTTTCATCCCCTACCTACCCCCTTGTAGGATGAATTTCGAGAAATGCTAAAACACGTATTTATTTATTTGTGTTAACGAGCATTAAAGAGTTTCAAGAAATTCTGATCATAAATATTTTTTTGGGTTGTTTTATAACATGTTTTCCCATGTGAATGAGATAATCTCCCGCAGTAAAAAGTATGTCACTGTCCAGCCCGCCAACTAACTCCACACAAAAAATCACGTCATTCCGTCACTCTGCTTCAACGTGAAAGAAGGACAAATAAACAAACACACTTTCACAATTATAATATTAGTATGGATATACTGACATTAATACACAGCACCATCTAGTTCCATGGTAAGCAGCAAGGCTTGTGTCATGAAAATATTTGATACACAACAGATATATAACTTTAAATACATATATACATATTACAAATATAAACACGTATGATTGGAGTACAAACATTCATGTTCACAAATGAAGGCCCCCAACGGGAGTCGAACTCGCGACCGCTGGCACAGCAAGTAAACTCACTACAAACCACGTTTCGTAGTTTCGTCAATCATTAAAAATTTATATTGATTCACAAAATACCTTAATTCCTTAATCGCGGCCAGCTCCCTCTGCTCGGCCTGTTTGAACGCCGCCACGATCTCGGTGGGCGTCGCGTCCTCGCTGAAGTGCTTGAGCAGCCCCGCCTCGGGCGCGTCCCCGCGGCCGCGGCGCCGCCCCGGGGGCCCGCACTCGGTGCGCGGGGACAGCGCTTCCAGGAGAGAGTATGGCCAGTTCTGAAATGGGAATTGTATTTATTTTTATTATTAGTTATTATCTAATATATAAATATCTTGCGTCACGGTGTTCGTGGTCGCTCTCCTCCGAAACGGCTCGACCGATTTTAATAAAAAAAAAAAATATATTTGGTAGGTATGAGAATAGGTCGTAAAGTATTTTTCATCTTACTACAATTTTAATATTTTTGTATGAACAATATTATATTAATACATAAAACGTATAACATAAAGCCAAAGAGTTTTTTTTAGATTGAACGCGGGCGTACCCGCAGATTCTGCTAGTTTTTTTACCTTTAAAGCCTTAAACACACGAAGATTTTTTAAGGCACCATTGCCGCGTGCTATTCGTGCGTTTGTATCGATATGACCGCACATAATCATTAATAATTTTTATATTCATCATGACAGAAAAATTGTTGATGACGTACTCAGTTTTTTTTGGCGTAATAAAGGATTAAATAAATAACAAATAAAATAATGTGCCCACCTTCTTGAGGAACATGTCCGCGGCGCCCTGCTGCCAGTCGCGCGCGGAGGCCAGAGCGGCGGCCAGCTGCCGCTTCTCCAGCAGCGCCAGCGGCAGCGCCGCGCCGCGCCGCGCCAGCGCCTCCACGCTGTGCATGTACGGGTACAGCTCCTTCGACTGCATCTCCTCCACCTGCGTGCGGGTGGGGTTTATTATTTAATTCTCCCTTCATAGTAAAGAACGCCCTAACTAACAATTTGGTCAAAAATGACTTAAATGCAGATTTAGAATCAGCAAAAAAAATGCTACGCGATAGTCTTGATCATAAAGCTTCTAAGTCTTATGAATCTGGAGATACCGGTACAATTTTGAGCGTAACTACGACGCAGCTACTATTAAACAAAACTTCAAATATCTCAAAATCAACTTTTAACGAAGTTGCGGCCTTCTTTTTTATAACGGCAGTATGAGCGCACCTTAAGAGATAGACACATACTATTGAGGACTTTACTGTATGCTTTTTGAAACTTACAATTTTCTAGTACATTGTTTTGATATATCTGTAAAAGTTTTTGACAAAACACGCGTCTAAGCTCATTCACTTTGTACAAAAAATTTATAAATTATATACATAAATACGAGTATTCCTCGTTTGTCACTCTTCCTATTAGTCAAAAATATTTAAATATTAAACAGGTATCTGCAAACTATTGGAATAGCAAAATAAACCGGATAATAGCGCAACATGCGGCCAAATATCTTATATCTAATAAGTTTATTTATTTCTTTAATAAACTACAAGAACAACAAAGTACAACATTCGTATAATTATTTGCTTGAATTGAATGGTAAAATAGCAGCTATTCAATTTGTCTCTATCCAACAACAAATTTGGTTAAAAAGTCACTATCTACATATTATAATGTTAAATTTCTTTGTATGTAAATGTATAATAAAGTATTATGTCATAATATGATTAATCACCAACCTTAGCAAGCCAATCCCTCGCATGCGTAGCAGCAGTATGCAGCGCATGATGGGAGGGCAGGGCGGCCTCTATATCCTCTCCCTCCGCGAGGAGTGCGTCCAGCTCAGCCACTGTTATGTGCTCCTCTGACTCCGAAGACGACTCCGAGTCCCGGGACTTCCCCGCAGTTGCGTTTGTATCCTTTGTATCCACGAGGATGGCTTTGGCACGTCGCTCCCAGTCCTCTACTTGCACTGTTTAAACAAAATGTATACTTATAATCCAAATGTATATTCATTGAGTTATTTGTTTAGCACCTAAAAATATATCTTTATAATAAAAAATAGTTAAGAAAACCCCATGTAAAATATAAGTATAGATGGTTAGCATGGAATAGATAGACTATACATATACAGGCATAAAAAAGTAGGTAAGTAGTTTAAAAATTAAAAAAAAATACATTCAATACTTGAAAATGATTGGTTCCCCGTACAGACTTCCATCCCCCTTTTCACCCCCTTAAGAGAGTGATTTCTGGGATAAAATCTGTCCTACATCCATCCCAGGGTCTCAAACTATCTCCATACCAAATTTCATCTGAATCGATTCAACAGATTAAGGGTGAAAAGGTAACAGACAGACAGAGTTACTTTTACATTTATATGGTACGGATTCTAGAAAAATACTTCTTTTATACAACAATAAAATCATAATTATATCAATTTTAAAACCTTCAAACTCAAAAAAAAAACTATAAACATGAAATGTGTACAAATAACTCACATTTAAGCTTATACAAGGTAGCTCTCTCAATCTCGACTCGTCGGTGAGGCACCACCGTCTCTGCCTCGGCTAGTAGCTTATCTATGACTTCAGGTGTCAGTGTGGAGCAGTCCTCGCGGTGGGCGCGCACTGACAGGATGAACTTCTCCTGTTGAAGCCGCGCTTGGAGTGCTGATAGATGTGGGAGGACGATGCAGAGACGCGATCCTAGGTCTACCACCTGGGAAAATATTAGTTTCAGGAGTTCAATTTTTTTCATTTATAGGTTTATTACAGTTCCATTTTTTTTCTCAAATTTTTGTGTAATTTTGTGGGTAGATACCGCCTATACTAACATCGACAGTTGTAATTCCTAACACCTTATTCTCTCCAAAGAATTAAAATAAAGCAAACAAAAAAACTAAAAAAACACGAAAAAAAGACAAAAATAGTTTTGACACAAAATCATATACTCACAAAGAAAAAAAAATTCTGATACTTTATTTTTTCACAATTTTAATTCAAATTCAAAATTCAGCATATTATTACAATTTCTTCTAGAACAAAATATTAAACATCCTGTGCCTACCGCCAGTTCAGAAAGAAAACAACATACTTCTAATAAGCTACTACTGCTTAGCTTCCATTTGTTTAAGTAATGATAACATAAAATGAACGCTAAAAGAAATGACAAACCTATTGGAAAATAAAAGAAAAAAGCAAAACCCACTCACTTCTTCTAACTCCCTGACAGAAGCTGCGTCACATTCGTCGAGTTCTTTACTTAATATTTCCGTCGCCAGGTCTTCAAATTCCGCTGTTTGTCGTAAAACTTCTTTCACTGCTGAACCTGTATGCAATAATAATATTAAGATGATGAAATATAACAATGAAAAATAACTAAAATCATCATAATTTAAAGTATTTTTTTGTACTGATGAGGTTGAAACTCGGTGAATTTATAAGTTGTCTTACCAGGGCGTTTAGACAGACTTAACGGGTTTACTGTTTGGCGACCCCCTATTAATTACGTGTGCTTAAAATGGGGAAGATAATATATATATAAAATGGGGGGTCCCATCAAATCTCACGTTTGAATTGATTTCTTTTATGTAAACTACTCAAAACAAAATAGATACAGACCTCGATAAAAGCTAAAAAAAATATTTATAATTAAGTGCTGAAGTAATTTTATAGTATGGCAACACCAACCTTCAGGCAGCACGCAGGCGAGCCCGTCGATCTCGGCCGCGAAGAGCGTGAGCTCGTGTATGGAGAGGCGGTACTTGGGGTCGTGGTGGCGCGTGCGCGTGCGCATCTTGTTTAGGTCCAGCTGCTGGATCACCGACGCGCACTTCTCCGCGTCCTCGATGGCCGTCTCCAGCGCGCGCACCAGCTCCGTCTTGTGCATCTGGTTTAGCCGTGTGAGGTTTTTTATATATTTTTTTAATATGATAATGATTATATAGATATTTTTATTGTACATCATAATTATTATAATTTATCGACTTATATATTATTATAACGAAAGAGGCGTTAATAACATACAATAACAAGAATAACAATAAATTATAAATCGTTTATATTTATTTAAATTATAATCAATATCATTTTTTCTTCATATGTTTAATACTACTGAGGATTTTCAATGACTCTTTATAACAACAAAAACCCAAACCCAAACATACCTTCAAGTCATGGGCTCTCTTCAGATGAGCCCTAAGTCCATCTAAGTCGCAAGTCTTGGGCGTGTCCGGGTCCAGCGCGTTCTGCACAGCCTCCGCCCACTCGCGGAACTGTTCCGACTTGCGCTTCAGCTTCTCCAGCATGGCGGGCAGCTCGTCCAGCGTGTAGCGATATCTGATTGGATAGACATTAAGTATTATTTATTTAATTGGATTATAAAATTAAATTACGTACGAAAACGTTTATTGAAGTATTTTGATGTATGATAGCCTCCAATAGCTTTGTGTTTAGAGGTTATGTTAAAATAGCGACAACATTAAATGAAATCGATTTTAATAAAATAAAACAAGTCCTATATTTTCACACTACTACAAATATTATAAATGTGTAAGTTTGTATGTTTGTTACTTTTTTACGCTGTAATGGCTGGACGTTTTTAGACTAAACTTAGTACACTTTCCTATATAATTATAAGAATATGATCTAGAATAGCGCATAGGTTATTGTAAGGTATCTAGAAAAGCACCGGAACAAAGTGAGGGTAAGTAGCTATTTCGATTATTTCATTGTAGTGTGTCGGATAATTATTCATGATATAGAATGTCAATATATATTTTTCTCTTTCTTTTTCGCCGACTCTATCCTGTATGTACGTACTTCTATGAGCCTGGTTACACGTAAACGCATGTGTACATGTATGTGTGTGTGTGCGTGTGTGTGTGCGTGCGTGCGTTTGTGTGCGTGTGTGTGTGTGCGTGTGTGTATGTGCGTGTGTGTGTGTGCGTGTGTGTGTGTGCGTGTGTGTGTGTGCGTGTGTGCGTGTGTGTGTGTGTGCGTGTGTGCGTGCGTGCGTGCGTGCGCGTGTGCGTGCGTTCGTGCGTGCGTGCGTGTGTGTGTGTGTGTGTACCTGAGCCTGTGGTGCCGCGGCGGGCAGGCGCAGAGGCGGTCGTGGTGGCGCAGGCACACGACGTGCGGCGTGCAGGCGCACGTCACGCACGACAGGAAGCACGTGGTCTTGCACTCGTGGCAGATGCGCTCGTCGTCCGGCAGTAGCTCGAACGCCTCGCGCTCCGCCTCCGTTACACCCTGTACACACATACATATATACACGTTTAACTTTTATTACTTCAATTCCTTAAATAATCGCTACGTATGATTAAAATAGGAATATACACAGAAACGACCAAGAACTTTATATATGTATATTTAATTCTTTTAATTCAACTATGTATGTATACAGTATCTTTTAAAGTCGGCCACAAAGGCCAATCTTACTGAGACTAGATATTATAGCATACATCAAGCACCCTGTATTCCTTTTATTCTTAAACTTTATGGGACAACAATTCAACACTCGTGGTAAGAGATCAGGTGCATCTTGTTTACCAATGAGCGACTCAACCATGTGCCACCTCAATCCTAATAATAATAAACTTGTTTTTTAAATAAAGCTATCTTTTCGGATTTATTTTGACTTTTAGTTTCCGACGTTTTGAATACTCTACAACAAGCATAATCTCGAGGATTTTCGTCGAAATTTCGAGAACCAAAAATCAATTTAAATCTGCGAAAAAATCCGAAAAGATATTTTTTTTAAATGTCAAATATTCGCGTAAATCTAAGAAATTATTAAAGGTTTTAACGACATATAACTGACCCAATCCAACAGTCCCTTCCTGAGCTTGCGCTCGTCGTGCAGCATGGCGCGCATGTCGCGGTAGGCGGCCAGCGCCACGGTCAGCGACAGCGCGTCCGCCTCCAGCGCCATCTTGCACACCAGCTCGTCGTGCGAGAACACGCAGTAGCGGCGCAGCGTCGAGTAGTGAGCGATGCACTCGCGACCCATTTTTAGCTGTGGTAAATGTTACATTTTATAGTTATTATTTATTGATGAAAAATAAAAACAAATCTATCCCACGGGAACCGTACATTTTTCCGGGATAAAATGTAATCTATGTGCTAATCCATACTATAATCTATCTCTGTGCCAAATTTCATCCAGATTCGTTGGGCCGTTCTGGCGTGAAAAAGTAACACACATGCATCCTCACAAACTTTCACGTTTATAATATTAATATAAATTAATGGCATTACACGAGACTTCCACAGTCGGCATGATTTTTATAAACATTTATTGAACTTGCAATGTTTGTTAGTTACCATGTTTATTTGGGTCAAAATCTTGCAGGCTGAACTAGAACCACTTCCTCCTGTCCTACAGAGTTTTACATATTGGTTCAGTTCCGATGACAATGACTTTCATTATATGAGCTCCAAACATACAGATCAAACAGATAACCCTTCTTTGGGCTTCGCTACAGTCGGGTAAAATGAAAACATTGAGTTTAATAACTAACCCAATCAGCGGGCGTGAAGTTGACGGCCTCCGCGAAGTTGTACCCCTGGTTGAACCCGGCGTGGTAGGCGCGCGGGAACGTGATCACGAACTCGCCCGCGTGCTGGTCCGTCCTGGACAATCATATGGTACGTATTAGTATATTTCTTACATTAATAATGGAAATAATGTGTTGTGTGTGTATCCTGTTCAACTAGCAACAATTCAAAACAGCAGGAGACAGCTCATTAAGTTGTATGATTTCAAATAATGCTTTATATTTATTAGATATTATTCATTATACAAATATTCAATAATTTTTTTAAATTCACTTAGTTATAAAGTCAGATGTCTATAAATCTAATAAAATAAAATTATACACCTTTTACAATTATTTGAACATATAATAGTAGTTACTATTACATATATGTACACCGGAGCGGACATATACTAACCTGTAGACAGGCACCCCAGCCTTCATGAGCACGTTGGGGTTCATGATGGTGACGAGCTGGTGCAGCAGGTCCGGCTGCAGCTGGAACAGCTCCGGCGCCTCGGCCTTCATCGCCGCCTCAAACTGCTCCGCTTTGGAGCTGGGCACTCCGTACCTGGGGTGATTGTTATTAAAAATTGATAATTTCATAAGTTTATAACAAAATATTGTATCGCCTGTTCTTGTTTCACTACAACATACATACAACACAATTATATAGTCATTATGGAACAGCCATTGTGTTGTTGGTTTGTACCACTTTGCTTCCGTTTATTGACTGTAGGTATGTGTGTTTGACGGCATATATTTGTTTAACTATATGTATGGACATATTTAAGTTTATTCTACTCAAATATAATTTAATTTAGAAACACACGAACTGTGTAAACATTTGTTTAATAAATATATTATACACATTCAGCAAAAATATATACTTATTAACTATACATAAATAATGATAATAATATTCGATAAATATTAAAACCCTTACCAAGTCTTCGGCTCGCCCCAGTGTAAGTAATTGATGGAGTAACTCCAGTGGTCTTCGTTATGCCAGCAGAATGTCGCGAAGCACATGCCGACGTACAGCCATGGAACCTAAAACAATCATTATTTTATATTCTTTCCTATAATCTTATTTACATAAATATGGCTCACAATTATAATAAAAAAAAACACTAAAATGGAAATATTCTTCTATATTGGAGTCAGTCAAATAAATACTTATTTTGTCTTATCTAATAAGCAAGAAAACAATCACAAACGGTGGCGAAACACTAAGTTTTTATACGTCGTTTTGTTTCATCCAATTCAAATAAAAAGAAAAAGTTAAGTTAATTATATCTGTGTTATATAGGATTTGTCATGTAATTTTATTATGTTTCGTATACTCATGTATAATTTAATTGAGTTGGTATTTAATTTATCCCATACTTAAAATATATTACTATATATATAACATTCTAAAACTATAAACTTTGCACAAAAACTAATATTGTAGTAAATAATATAATATAAAACATACCTTCATCCCTGATATGTCAGCATTAATGTGTCCCAAGACAGAACCTTCCAGAACAGGCAGGTTGTTTAAATTCCAGCTAGACTCAGCGTATTGCTGTTCACCAGGATACAAATGTGCACTGGATTTTGTTGGGAAACCTACATTAAAAAAAATGTTATATCTATATTGAAACTTTAAAAGGCACATAAAATATATTATAATATATTATGAATAACTTACTTATTGAAATTGCTTTTATATTAAAAAAAAATAATTAATTATTTATATAATAAACAACAAAGACTTTATTATTACCATAAAAAAATTTCAAAATCATAAATCATTTTTTTTATACTTTTTAAAACATTTAATACTTACTAAATCAAAATCATTCTAAAACTATAATTATACCTATACTACATTTTTTGAGCAAACTTCAACTAACCAGATCCATGGTCCATAGAGTGTAGATCAGCCCCATACTCAACTGTCACGTCCTCGTCTATGGACGATACAACGCGCCAGAACTCGCGCTCCACCGTAGATGTTGGTACCATCTATTCCAAATTGTATTATTTTAAAAAACCAGGTTTTAACTAAATGTTATTTTATGGGGCACGTGATATCTAGATATAACAGCTTGTTAAAAACTGTTACAGGAAAAACATAAAACATAATAGATACATAAAACGATTCCAGTCATCCTTTATTCAAAAGGAAACCTATCACTTGAATGTATAGGGGTTAATGAACACACAAAAGGGTAAAAGAAAAAAAAACAGTCTAAAGTAAAATTATAATTAGAGATGGGAAAAATAATGTTTAATAGTTATAGTGCAATAGCGTAAAAAGATTGACGCATATACATGTTTTGCACATTTGAAATAAAACTATCTTGTCTCAAGGAGAGTGTTCATGATTGCTGTAATGTAAAGCATTCGAAACGTTGGGAACCAAAAATCAAAATGAATCCCCGAAAAAAATCCGAAAAGATAGTTTTATTTAAAGTGTTTAATATAAATATAACACTCACATGTACGGGCATATTGAAGTAGTCAGACTTGAACTGGTCGGCCATTTCGCCGAATTGCTGCAGCGTGTACTCGCGGCTCGCCTGCTCGAACCCGAACGCTTCCGTCGGTTTTGATACCTAACATGTAAACCGTCACAATTAAATTAATATGTTGGGACATTAACACACAGCACCATCTAGTTCAATGGTAAGCTACGAGGCTTGTGTTATGGATACCAGGTAGTTAATACACTACACATATATAACTTTTAATATATACATATTATAAACACCCATGGTTGGAGTACAAACATTCGTACTTATCACACAAATGAATCCCCCCCGCGGAACTCAAACTTGCGACCGCTGGCACAACAAGTTGTGTCACTACAAACTGAGCTAGACGTGTCGTCAAAAAATAATTATTATTGTCTTAACTTGCATCTTGAGCCCGAATTAGGGTTGTCCAATTTCTTTGTTGGGACGAGGCATCTGTACTAGTATTATGATCTGTGGTATTATGTATGTTGTTTTTGTATGTAATATTGTTTAGCGTTTACCTATTGGTCAATAAATTATTATTAATTATTTTACAACTGAAATGGTATTTTGAAAGTCACCTCCTCAGCGAGACAGACGGGGCAGCGCCAGTCGCCCTTGGGCACGTCGGCGAGCGGCGGCACGAGGCAGAAGGTGTGGTAGGAGTCGTCGCAGCCGTCGCACAGCAGCATCTGCTCCTCGATGTCGCCGCGCCCGCACACGTGGCACATGTACTTCGCGAGCTGCCGCCGCGCACACAAACAGACAGGTATCGTGTCAATATACGAATATTTGACATGTATTCTAATATTATAAAGAGGAAAAAATTTGTTTGTATCGAATAGGCTCCAAAACTACTGAACCGAAATAGATGAAATTTGGTAAAATGATAGTTTGAGAGCCTGGGAAGGACATGGGATAGTTTTTATGCCGGAAATCCTCCTTTAATAGGGTAAAAATAGGGGTGAAAGTTTGTATGGGGAAGCATCCTAGGGATGAGTCGCTAGTTTTAAATAAAACTCTAAAGACCTCTCTTAGGTCATTACATAGTCTAAAACCTTAGTCTATCCCGTGACCATGCTTGCCGGGAAGCATTTAAAACGTCGGGTACCAAACCTCAAATTAAATCCGCGAGAAAATCCGAAAAGGTAGTTTAAGTTACGATATTCTATCAGTTTAAATATCTTAAAAATTAAATTCTCTTGTTAGTGACTTCAAAGCGTGCCAGTTGAGCACAGATTACTTCGCCAATGTCACGTAGAATGGAGAAAATACGAAAGAGATTGGTCAGTAGAATCAGATCATTAAATCTTAATAAAATCAGATATACCGAATAATATAAAGCATAATATTACGTTGTTTATCAAATCATACTAATATTTCAATAGACAGACAGACAGTTTATATATAACAGCTAACATGATACAACTCTTTTAAGTATATTTACTGTGTAATGAGAGAAAAAATTAGGTATCTTTCAAATACAGCCCAGTTCTATATCCACATCATACAACATACATCCAAGTGCTTACTATTAGTACTAAGGCTAAAAATACAACCAAAAAAAGTTAAATAAGCTATAAACTAAAGTTGACTTTGGCACTTCTGGAGTATATTTAAAACTTTTAATTATAATAAAATCTTTCCGACAGATTTCAACCACGGCGGCCAATCTCACTGAGACTAGCCAGCGTAGGTGATATTATAGTGCACAATTATGTATGCAAACCCCAATGTGCACTCTCCGTTTCTTTCTCCCACTCTCCGGTGGACAACAAGCCGATCCTCGCGGTGAGAAATCAGGGGCAGGACCCACGGCTTTTACGTGTTCTGTCTCGGCCAGGGCGGTGACACACCGCCAACATCCCAACTCCAGGCTGTTACTGAGAATTCTTTAACAGAAACACTCAATAACCACGCTTGGCTCGACCCGGGTTCGAACCAGGACTTCCATATCTCTAGGCTGTAGCCATACACGCTAGCTATGTACTAGATAAAGTAGCAGTAATAATTATGATTTTTATTACAATTGCTTTTATCAAATAACACAAATATAAATATATGAATTATATATTATCAATGAAGTACACTTTATTACACTTTTAAAGTCCTAAAAGTATCTGTCTGAATACAGTTGCATAGGTATCGAGTAGGTCCAATTCAATTTCAGCTAAATAAAACTTTCACTTTGTTATTCTAAACTTTCATTTAGTTTTATTCTAATTGTTTTGACATACACTATTAAGTTTGTGAACGTTGACATATACTAATGTCAAATGGTAACATTACCGTCTAGTGGTAATATCAGCCAGTTCTAGTGGTAACATAACCGAGTGTCACCGGTAACACCATCTAGTGTCACCGGTAACAAAATCTAGTGAGAGTGGTAACACTGAACGTTACCGGGTCGTCGGGGTGCAGCGGCGGCGGCGCGGGCGTCACCGACACCGTCATGTTGGAGAGGCGGTGCTCGCGCAGGCGCGTGGAGCGCAGCACGCGCGCGCGCGCCCCGCAGCTGCCCGGCTGAGACATCCATTTGTTCTCGCGTGGACCTGTGCGGGAAGAACCGAGGATATGAGCATCTGAATTAAATATTGACTAGCATTGTCCTGTAGCTTTACTTGTTTGTATTCAGCACTTTTAAATGTTCCACGGCTTTTTTAATACTTTCTTGGATTTACGCGAATATTTTACATTTAAAATAAAACTATCTTTTCGGTCATTGTAAAGTTGTTACAGACAGCATTAACCCTCAAAATTATACAATGATTTTCAAAAACAAAGGTCTCCTCCAACTCTACTCTTCTCTAGATAAGGCAGTTCTTTGCCATAATGGGCCTGCAGTTTTCCTAATTTTATTTAAAATCTGAAAACTTAGTTTTATTTAAAAAGTCCACAGCTGATCACTAGCCTCCGATCAATGTGAGGGGATTTGGCCATTGCATTGTTCATTTATATATAGCCTCTCTTAAAGGTTATAGGGCGATGTTAAACAACTTATTTCCCTCTATAAATAGATAGGCTGGTAGATATAGATAGCTGTTATCGTTCAAACGAAAAAGCAAACTCTTAATTATAGTACATATAGAAGTACTAGCGAATAACCCTCGCTCCGCTCGGGTGCGTCCCTAAGTTGGACCCTTATCACTTAGGAGTATGAAAAATAGTTTACGTCCTATTCTCAGACCTACTAAATACACATAAAATTTCATAAGAATCGGTCAAGTCGTTATGGAGGAGTTTTGTTACAAAAACTGTGACACGAGAATTTTATACATAATTATAACTAGCGACTCGTCCGTAGTTACGTTTTAAAGTTCAGTGTATGTTTCTCAGAGATGAGATATTTTCCCGCAGTAATATGTTGACGCGGATAACCACCTATTTTTTTATTGGGTGTGGTGCCGAGGTCGGCCCTAGCTACGTCGACCAGTTATGGTCCATTGTAGCTAACCATCTATTTACCAAACTTCATCAAAATCTACCCAGTGGTTATCTCGTGATGCGTTCCCAGACAGACAGACAAAAATTCTAAAAACTATAGATTAAGCCTCTATATCGATAATAATGATTATTTAATAAGATTTTCGAAAAAAACATTAATGTACAGATTCCACTAAGAATTTTATTATATGCATAGATTATTTATATACATACAGGGTTCAGTAACAGCTATATTAAAATTTAAACGGGTAAATAAGTTTACAGAATACATCGTTTACAAAATTAGTAACATTTCAAAATATTTCCTACATGAATTTGGAATGAGAGACGCGCTAACACCTCCAGGTAAATTTCTAAGAAATTAATTAAATTTCTAAGAAATGTATTCTTGATTGTAACGCCGGCGTGTCTGCGATCGTGGAGGGATTAATATTAATTTGTTACTGATATTGCTATGAAATAAAATGAATGAAAGTGTAAAAAGTTACCATCTCATGATCAGTAAGAGTCAATATTTATTGAAACAAAGCTTATTAATATGATAATATTATAAGCAATAAAATATTAATTAAGTAGTTCTTTACTATTTGTTCTAGTTCACTTCATTTAAGATAACACACTGATATTAAAAATGTAATAAATTGTTACATTTTTGTAATAACTCATAAAACCCACTACATTTCCTATAATAAAATCATTTGACCAAAACTGAGTATGTATTGCTTTTTTATTTACTCTTATATCTATACTAATATTACAAAGACGAATTGACGACATGTTTGGCTCAGTGTGCCCTACTTGCTGTGCCAGCGGTTGCGGGTTCGAATCCCGCTGGGGCCATTCATTTGTGTGATGAGCACGAATGTTTGTACTCCAGTCATGGGTATTTATATTTATAATATGTATGTATTTAAAGTTATATATATGTAGTGTATCTAGTATCCATAACACAAGCCTCGTAGCTTACCATGGAACTAGATGGTGCTGTGTGTTAATGTCAAAAAAAATAATAATTGTTTGTGTGTTTGAACGCGCTAATCTCAGGAACTACAAATCCGATTTGGAAAATTCTTTTTGTATTAGATAGCGCGTTTATTGAGGAAAGCTATATTGGCTATCGTCCCGGAAAAACGTACAGTTCCCGTGGGATAGATCTGTTTTTGTCTAAGGACGAAGCAAGGGTGATTCGCTAATATTATATAGAAATAAACTTTCTAAGTTTGTATGTGGGGGGCAATCTCTGAAACTATTGGTTCGATTCCAAAAATTATTTCACTGAAGGGAAACTACATTACCGCCGAGTGCTAAAACCTATTTTTTTATTCCAATAAATATATCTTTACTACCACGAATCTCAATCGGTAAAAACTGATCATTGAGTTACTTTATTGATTACATAATAATTATGTATGTAAGGGATAGGATGTACCTGAGTGGAGGGTAATAACAATACTCGTAATATAATACTTACTCCGTCTGGTCTCCCCTGGTTCTTCCTTGATGGGGGTCTTCTTATCGTCCGTGGAGGGCAGAGCCCCCTCAGTGTGGCTGCCCTCAGCGGGCTCGGGCTCGGAGCTCTTGTAGCGGCGCGCGGGAGGCGGCGTCGCGGCCGGCGGCTTGCTCGACCTACGCCCTGCCTTCTCTGGTGTCTGCTCGCCTTTTACTTCGATTTTCTGTACATACGTTTATTAATTTATACTTAGTCTCAATTTTTAGGTAATATTATAGGACTACTATTGTAGGGGAGCCCAAGAGGGGATTTTTGCAGTTACTCAAGCTCGGCAAAATAAAATAAGGGATCCCCTCTTGCACTTTGTTCAGTACCTGCTCCATAATATAAGTCCTCTATATAAGGGCGTGCGTCTAGACCAGCCGATCGATGATAAGGTAGAAATACTTGAAACCATCATATTAAGGTATGGTGGGCTAATTACATCCTGAAAAGTGTGCAATTCAATAATGTACTGATTTGCACAAGCCGAAGAGGCAACATAACATAATAATAATTACTTAATCCAAATCTAATAAAAAACCCAGAATCAAACCAAAGCGCTAAATATTTTTTAGTTCAACGAAATATAATAAAAAAAAAAGTTGTTGAATTTTGCCTGTTCGGCTTGTGAAAATCGGCAGATTACTGTTAAGCACCGCGTGGACACTCCCGCGTGAAGCGAGGGTACGTACCCAAGTTTCCCACATTAGGCTACAAGCTACAACCATAGTTGCCAGTGATCAAGTATTCAGGCTGGTGGTTCTATTGAACATCGCGTCTTAAGTGACCATAAAGCGACCGTGACCCTAATATAAAGTGGGTTGCTGCGACCATGGTCGGGGTCTTTATATTTTGCACTTAACTTAACCAATTTAAATTCAATGAATTTCTGATACATACATATACTTCCTTCACATAGATTTCGTTTTTGGTAAATAAGAGTAATTTATATATTTATTTTATATTTTTACATTTAGTTGATCCACGCTAAGTATGATTGAAAACACACTATAATGTAAGATGTAAAAAAAGAGTTATGTTTTAACTAAACTCAAACTGATATAAACTAAAATTATTTCAACTGAGTATTTAATTGGCTATTTGCGATTAATACTTTCCATATTCAACTCGTTATATAAAACGCAAAACATAAAAATAAACTGTTAATAACGTATCTAACAGTTAATAAATGTTCTAATAATCTATCCACGAGTCTATCGAACTATACATTGGAAGGCACTTTATATCAGGTATATTCGCTGCAGTTATTAAAATGGCGATTGAATACAGCTCGGTTCCAAGAGATTTATATTTTATATATATTGGGATTTATTTATTACATTATTTCCAGTCAATGTTAGTTTATGGATAATATGTTGGGTTACGTACTAGTTTTACACCATGGCAATACTTAAAACTTACATTATTATTTTAGTAATTTATTTTTATAATATATTTTTTGTCGTCATTAATACCATGTTTCAGGTATTCTAAAGTATTTACTTACCGTCTCTTTACTATCCGTTCCGCTGCTCATGGTGCCGCTGTTCTTGAACACATCGTAGGGGTAGAGCATACGCTCGTAGTGATTCTTGAGGATAGATCCTATCCCCTTCCCTTGAGGGTGACCCATACGACGTGCTATCTTCGACCATTTTCTTTCCGCGGAACATACCTCGAAACCACCTTGGGAAATAATGTTAAACATTCATTTTTGAATTCAATTTCAAAAAACTGATTAGTCTTATTTAGAATGAAGGAATACATCATGTTATAATCGATTTAAAAAAAAAAACAGTCAAATTTACAATGCCTTTTGTAAATAGGTTTACCCACAAAGACCCTTCACGTTTCACGTTTCATTTACTTATTGCGTTAAATAAGATTAACTCATTAATTAATTAGTCTTAAAGAGCGGTCCCATGTACATTTTTAGTCATTATGGCTAATTTGTTAGAGCTCATCGCCTACGGGAAATCCCGAATGTTGTTGGGGAAATCATAAAGTCTGAGCATGTTTGTTTTTCTATCACGTGGACGTGACATAATATGTCGCCCTCACTGCAATGTGTTATATACAGGTTATTCAAACTACATCATTTTAGTTTCAGTAGTAAAATAACTGCCTGTAGAACTTTGGGGTAAAGTTACCACAAAGTAGAGCTATGAGGCAACGAATGGGAGTCGCGATAGACCAAGAACCGGGACGAATTAGATAAATTGACCTATAATAATTGTACCTTACAGCAAAATTTAAAAATATAGAAGTAAGACCTTTGCCGGGGGGTGAGCAGAGGTCGCTTTAGACTGACAATAAACAAACAATCTAGTATTTATTTCCAATAACAGGTACCTACAAAAATATCGACGTGACCTATATTTAAGCGATGTTTTACATTGAAATACATTATAAATTGGGAAACGTGGAGGCGCACACCCCAACTATTCTGGGAAACGCGCTCAATCAATATCAATTAGCTTATTGGTTCCAACGAAATGCATCTAACTTTACGGTGTAAATTTTACAGTGAAGCAAATATTTTCATTCGCTTTGTCAGTGCAAAATCTAAAAGTGCCTCTCTTATATTGACACAAAGGAAGAGATAAGCATTAAGCATAGCTTAGTACATAACGTAACTGAAACAATAATTTTCAACCGACTTCCTCAAAGAGGAGGAGGTTCTCAATTCTGCTGTATGTTTCTTTTTTTCTTGTGTTTGTTACCTCAGAACTTCGTCATTTATTAACCGAATTGGACAATTTTTGTTTTGTTTGAAAGTGTATACTTCCAGATTGATCCCATTTAAATTTCAAAAAAAAAGACCACCCCTAAGGGTGGAAAAATAATAAAAACTACCAATCAGTTATTTTTTACTTTTTAGTGCTTTTTTGAAGTCGGTGTTTATTTTTTGTTAAAAAGTTTTTATCGATCATGAAATTTTACTTTTCATAAAGGTAATACATCTTTTTATGGTATTTTTAACGATTCGCATCTCGAGATTTCGTTATAACTGATTATCAATAAGTAATACTGCACTTAAAAAATTATGCCGCTTTTAAAACGTTAGCATACGAGTAGATTCTCTTTTTTCTTTATGAAATATTAAGTCTATTTTGAACTATTTCCATATATCGTAAGAATTTTAATCACGTATGTGGAATTCGGATGGCAGAACAAAAATAACTTGATACAGTCAAACTAATCTGAATATGGAGCCAAAATAGTAGACAATGGAATTTTTTGGTAGCTTTGAATATGCGACATATCTGATCCCTTTCGTGTTCATATATGGTCAAAAGCGTGTTTTTTTAAGTACAAGGTATTCAGTATTGTCGATTTCAAACATAGTACCTATTAACAATAATCTCCTTTTTTAAAAATCTATACATATAAATAAAATTAAAAGTGTCTGTCTGTGATTTCAATATAACTATGTGTTCACAATTAGGTATATAAAGTAATTTATATGATACCAGTACCTAAAAATCCTTTTAAAAAATTGTCTATCTGTGTGTCCAGGGTAATCTTTGAAATGGCTTCACCGATTGTAATAAGATTTTCAACGAAAAATAGAAGTGTTTTTTTTTTCAGAAATATTTAGGGTTCCAAGGCATAAATCCTTAAAAATTAGGCAAAAATTGAATTTACGTTTCTAAACTAGCTAAATAGTAGGTAAAATATAAACCATAGAATAAAGATAAGCTCTTATAGTTCTAATAACACGGTAGATCCACATCGATTTTACGTAAGGTGTGCTAGTTGCAAGAACACTGAATAACTAAACTATATGAATATTTATAACGCCATCGTGGCATAGATGGAGACTCATCGGATTTATATAGTAGGTATTATGACAATGGCTGTGAATTCCCTTTTTAGTAAAGATATAACACCAGTCGTGTCGAATTGTTGTCCCACCGGAGTATGAGAGTGACAGGAATAGAGGGCGCATTTGTGTTTGCGCTCGTATTTGTACATTATGTCGCATCCACACTAGTGATGTAACATGAAAGAAACCGACTTTGTTTTTTTTCACTATGTTGAAAAAAAAACATGAAAAAAGAAACACTGCTTTTGTTTTTGTTTTCACTTCATTTGACTTTTGAGGAAAAAATCTATAGGAAATTAAATTTTTTTTTTTTTTAATTTCGTACATTTTACTAAATTACGAGTCGAATTAAGTACATATATTCAATTAAGTATAATCAAAATCAATTAAATAAAAAAAATCTTCCTCTGTGCCAATGTCAGTAGGTACCACTTTCAGTATTAGTGTCACCTATACTAGTCTCGTACTTGTCTGTGTCGGAATTTTCACACTAAGCTTGATTCTATTCAACCAAAAAAAGTATGGTAGGTTTAAAAATAAACAGAAAACTTTAATATGAACTCTTAAGTATATTGATAATTTTACGGAAACTACCTTAATCATTTTGAATTGTGTACTCTTGAAAAAAAAACATACTCCAGAAAAAAAATTGTCACTTTTTTTCACGATTTTTTTTAAATAAAAAAAGAGGTTAAAAATTAAGACAGATCTGCAGGAAAACGTTAATATTGTAATATTTTTTTTTTTGTAAAATGTTTCGATTAAGCATATGTATTGAAGTTTTTAAAACAAGCCAAGCTCCGACTGGTTCTGGTCCGGCTTCGATAGGAGGACCAATAACCATTGAATAGTTCCACTTTTCACCTTCTCATTACATTTAAATTGTTTTTAATCAAGTATGTGACAATTACAAATAGGTTATCGATTTACAAGATTCGTTTACATACTTGGTTAATTACTTCGTTACCTAAATGTAAATGAGGGTTCAACTAATACTATTATTATAAAGAGGTAAAGTTCGCAAGTTTGGGAGTTTGTATTGTAGGAAGTAATCTCTGGAACTACTGAACCGATTTAGATGAAATTTTGTAAGTAGATAGTTTGAGACCCTAGAAAGAACACAAAGGGTAATTAATATTCGATATATCCTGATGCTTCTCTGACATAATTAAAAAAACAAACTTATGTAATACATATATGCATTTCTTTATACGCTACTATTACTCACTTGGTCTACACATATACAACTTCACATTACACAGACATACATACATGTAAAGCTTATACAAATATAGACCCTAGTGGAACTAGAACCAGTTATTAAACCATAGTCGTATCCAAATATAAACTAAATGAATGCCAAGACATGACAATAAGATTTATTCATAAAATACCCAAAAAAAAGACAATGAAATCGAGTTTGCTCATCCGTGTTTTGAGAATAACAAAATGCGCATTTACAAAGAATATTTTAATACAATCATTTATTACCTCAATTTCCTTGACTTAAATCATTGCGTACATTATTTTATCAGGTGTTATGTTAAATTGTTCTTTTCTAGGTTTGTTTGAAAGATTAATCATTCAAACCTACCTTACCTTTACCTACCTTAAGGTAAGTAGTGAAGCTAACTTCGTTTGTAGTAGTGGCAAAAAAAATACAAACAACAAAAAAAAAATTTCAAGCCCCGAAATAGGAAAAAATTATTTTTTACAGCCGTTTCTTATAGAAAAACGTTAGTAATGGTTTGTATTGCATTTTTTTCGTTTGTAGGACAACAAAAAAAAAATATATCATTAATCTCGAGTATTTCTCCAAAACGATATTTACTACAATAAATTCAACTTGAAAGCTTTTTTATATGATTACTATTAGTTAATTTCGTTTGTAGTAACATAGTATAATATATAAATTTATTTCGTACACCTGGAAAAGAGCTTCAACGATTTGGATCGAATTTTATATTTAGATAAGGTTTTGCGTTTTAAATTTATCTATGTGGGTGTTTTATTCTGAAAAAATGTAATATTTAAATCTTTTCCGAAGGACGCCGAGCGAAGCGAAGCTAAGTAAAAAAGGATGACTCACCTGCTTCCCGTACAATTTTGTGCAGGGCGTACAAATCTAGCGGTTTCCTTTCCACAGTCGGTATCTTGAGGACAGATCCTTGAAGCTCCCAGAACTTGATTATCTGGTCTAGGAAGTTCAGCTTCACTCGAGTAATAGCCTGGTCATTGTATAAGTACATTATTAATTTTATTTTGTTTTGTTTATAAACCAAAGAAATATCCTTTGATACATACTACCATTAGTTTCTAGTTTTTTTATAATAGAAGAAAGTAATATTCATTAAAAAATAACACCTGATGAAAAGGAATAGCAATATCTTTGGTTTATTATGTTTTAGTAAGTCAGTTTCTTCTTTAATAGACTTCTTACATAGTCTTCTAATTATGATCTACTGGCGAAAGAAAAAAAGGATGCCACTGCTTCACACAAAAGGGTTGCATTGTCCTTTACATATTATGTATGTACTAAAATTTATAAAAATAATAATTCTTTTCTATAAACGATGACCAAAAATATGACTCATGATAAAACTATTAGGTAAAATGTACCATAACCAATATCAAAATACAATAGGTTCAAAGCCGGGAAAAAATTAAAAAAAATTACCTCTAATTCATTTAATCGTTGTATTCTTGGCGTGAATCGCAGTCTGTCCACGTCCACTGCAAAGGGAGGCTGCCAATGCTGTAATAAGGATAATAGTGTTAATATTCATCTACAGTATTTTATAAGCAGAAATCTGATAAGAAACTATTTATGAACTGGAATTTTAAATACCTAATAATTGTACCTGTTACATTGATCAAAAGAGTACTAGATATACAATCCCATGAAGTTCTCTTAAAACTGTCACCAATTGTGTTTAGGTAATTATTCGAGTTGAAATAAATATACAACAATGTAAATTGAACCTTAAAAGCAACGCTTAAAGTTGTTATCACAAAGTAAAATTTGAAATAAAAACGCGCTCTAATGTTCAAATGAGCACTCATTCGGTGAGGTTATTTTTTGTCGCTGATTGTATATTTTTATTGTGACTTTTTTGATCTATGAACTGTTATTAAAAAAGGGCTGCATACATTAACAGTACAAAAGTATTATCAAAAATAACACCTAAATATAATTGAAATTAAGTTTTGATACATTATAATCTATATAATAAAAAAAATCAATTCGCACCGTTACCGAATTCCTGGCAGATGTGATACATCGAAACTATTTTGTAACGAAAATATGCATGATAGGATGGTTCCAAGGGCAGTAAATATGACATAATTAAAAGCAAAATATTCAGATTTTTTAAAAAGAAACAAAAAGAAAAATTACATACGTGTATACAAGCGGTAAACGTGTCAAGTATACTATAGTGGGATAGAAATATTAATAGTTTACACAGAGAAGCAACAAAGTGTATAGTATACACGCGCACACACACGGGAGTCGAGAGCGGTGGCATTGGAAGCAGTAGTGTCATTTGCCATCACAGAATACGAGTCAGTTTTACTGCCAAGTCGCGCCAATAGATGTTTCACATCAAAAAAAACTATCCACTCGTTTTTGAGTGATTCTGATCATAAAAACCTCAAAACTCTAATTCTTTAATAAAAATCCAATGTGGCATATCATCCACGTAGTAATCTTCTATTTGTTGTAGCTATGAGTATGGATACCTATTTATAGTCATAGCAAACACAGGGTTAGAATATTATTTTAATCCGTTAATCTTATGTGTTGTTCTATTATAATACCACCACAAGAATAAAGTACCTATAATCTTTTGCCTATATTATCTTAGTAAAGTAACAGATAAAAAATTGTACAATAAATATTATCAAATGAATAATTCTTGTATACAAATTTATTTCGTGTATCTAGGAAATGGCTTGAACGATTTAGATCTAATTTTGTATTTAGATAAGGTTTCGCTTTGTAAGTTTATCTACGTAGGTGTATATTCTGAAAAAAAAAACGCAATGTTCATATATTTTCCAAAAAAAAAAACAAGATTTAACTCCAAAAAAAAAACACCCAGATACTATAAAACATAACATCTACATAAAGCTACGCTAGATCTTAATTTGGATTGCATCTCCCACGGAGAGCCAACATACTGGCCCACGGATCACAATAAGATACCAGACCTACTAGATTTCTATGTAAGTAAGAACATTGGACACAATTACTTCAAGATAGAAAAATGTGAAGATCTATCATCAGATCATACTCCCGTCATACTAAACGTCTTTAAACAAGCTGTTGCACTCGAACCGCCTCAAAATATTCATAGCAAAAACACAAACTGGGATTTATATAGAGAAATCATATCAAGTGAACTCAACTTAACCATTAAATTAAAAACGGGTGAAGATGTCGAAACAGCTGTCGAAATGCTCAACAGCACAATACACCTAGCAGCCACTGCTTCAACACCTAAAAATAAGAAAGTAAAGACAAAGCAGATGGAATTCCCAAAGAACATAATGGAGAAAGTCAACGAACGGCGCAAAATGAGAAAAGAATGGCATAGAACGAGATACCCTTCGGACAAAACTAAGTTTAACAGAGCATCAAAAGAATTGAATGAAATGACCAAAGAATATGAGAACATCGGCCTACAAAAACAGCTTTCTTACCTCACCCCACATAAGGACACTAATTACTCGCTATGGCGCGCAACCAAAAAGTTTAGGCGACCAAAAGAACATATTCCGCCGTTGCGAAGACAGGACAGAGGTTGGGCTAGATCTGAAATAGAAAAAGCAACCGTATTTGCCGAATACTTATCAAATGTCTTCAATCCTTTACCTTGCACTGAACCCGATAAGGATAATGAAATATCCAACTACCTGCAGTCGCCGAACCAGCTATGCTTACCCTTAAAGGCAGTAAGTCCTAAAGAGTTTATCCGAGAGATCAAAGCTCTACCACCAAGGAAAGCACCAGGCTATGACCTAATAGATGCAGAACTGCTAAACAACCTTCCAAAAAAAGCCATAATGTTCTTGGTGAGTCTCTTCAATGCATGCCTCAGACTCTCCCATTACCCATCCCAGTGGAAACTTGCTCAAGTTGTCATGATTCTCAAACCTGGCAAACCACCAGAAGAAACCTCATCCTATAGACCAATTAGCCTTCTCCCTTTGCTGGGCAAATTTTTCGAAAAAAATATTCTTAACAGGATGCATCCGCATCTAGAAACCATACTTCCTGGACACCAATTCGGATTCAGACGGCAGCATGGTACCATCGAACAAGTCCATAGGTTGACAGACACAATTAGCCACGCGTTTGAAAACAAAAAATACTGTTCCGCGGTTTTCCTGGATATTAGTCAGGCTTTTGATAGGGTTTGGCATGTCGGCCTACTGTTTAAATTAAAAAAATACTTACCTCACTCCTTCCTTTCCATTCTCGAAAGCTACTTAGACAAGCGTTGTTTCGAAGTTAAACTTAATCACGTCACATCAGAGCTGCATGAAATCAAGTCGGGAGTACCACAGGGGAGCATTCTTGGGCCCGTGCTGTATCTCATCTTTACAGCTGACATACCTACAGATGATAATACCCTCATTGCCACATATGCAGACGACACTGCAATAATGTCAGTATACACCAACCCAGAAGTCGCTTCAGCGAACCTGCAGAAACACATTGATGACATCGGAAAGTGGCTAATGATATGGAGAATAAAGGCAAACCAAAACAAATCTGTACACGTCACTTTTACTCTAAGAAAAGGCAACTGTCCCCCAATAACACTAAACGGAGAACAAATTCCACACGATGATACAGCAAAATACCTCGGTATGCATTTGGACAGAAGACTGACATGGCAAAAACATATATGGCAGAAACGAAAGACCCTAGACTCAAAGTTGAGAAGCATGTACTGGCTGATTGGTAAAAAGTCTCAGTTAACCAATGAAAGCAAAATGGCAATATATAAAACCATATTGAAACCGGTTTGGACATACGGTATTGAACTCTGGGGAACAGCAAGCAACAGTAACATTGACATCCTGGAAAGGTTTCAAACCAAAGCCATCAGATCCATGTTTAACTTGCCCAAATGCATTCACAATAAATATATTCTGCAAGACTTTAAGCTAGTAACAGTTAAACAAGAAATCGCTGCCCGTAGTCAAAATTACCAGTACAAACTAACCAAGCATATCAACTCCCTGGCTGCTGATTTGGCGGGATCTGGAAGTACCGTTTACACAAGACTGAGGAGGAACAGTGTTCCAAATCTAATAAACCGATTCCCAACAGAATAAGCGAGAGTGGTCAATGGACAATTCTCACTGCTATAAAGTCCTATTTCTGAATAACTTCAAACAAGGGAGCAGCTAAATGTCTGATGACAGATTGTTGCGTTGAGCGGGATACAGAATAAAAAAAAAAAAAAACTATAAAACTAAACTGTTATGTTTTACTTCATTAATAATTAAGTAATGTAAGATTGTTAAAGGTAAATATGCATGTGTGATGTGAATGTATAATTTATGTACTTATACCAGAAGTTATTATACAATATACAATTAAATATATATACTGTTTATGTTTGATATATGCTTTAATTATGTATAAAAAACATAATCCAATAAATTATTTGCTATTTGTTTGAAATAGTATATTTTTTGTTACTATTAATTTGTAATAATAATAATTATGATTAGTGCTTGGCTTTAGTACTTTTGTACAGGCATTAGTGCCGGAGGTGCAGGTTTGATTTTGGCATTGACCATAATGATATTTATTTTGGTCTTGTTTCACTGCTATAAAGCAGATACTGCACTTTACAATTTACTTACTTTCCAAAGCTTACTTATCTGCAAAGATAAGAGTCAATAACAAGTAACAACAAGTAAAGCATTGCAAGTATAATTTGTTATATTCAAATTAATATAACCATTTTATTAAAGTTTTAATTAAGCATAACAGAAGAATACTATTGAAATTATATTTTTATACAATTTACTTCTCTCTTTGACACTTCATCTTTTGGCTAAATTTCTATAAAATTATTTATTTCGAAGATTGTAATAAAAATATAAATCAAGCTTTACAACATATACTGGTACTAAAGAAATTATGTAAACACTACACAATACAAAAATTGTATGAAAATCTAGGTCTTTTGTATATATTTTCTGTAACCACCATAAGTATGGTACAAAGATGTAAACATTCTAATTAAAAAATGATAATCAGTAGCAGATTTAATATTTTTGTTAGTAAACTTTGTAAGCACAGCATTATCTGTGTAATGATATTTTTTGTAAACAATGTTTTAATCTAAATAATTTAATTTTTGCTATTGAATTATGCATGGTATAGAAAGCCAGAGGCGGTAGAAACAACAAACACCCAATAACTTGAGATATATTTACAATCAAACTTGGCCAAAAAAGAACCTTCACAGAATGCACAATAACAAAAAATATGTAAATATTTTCCTCATTTATATTTTATCATTACTTAGGATGGTGAATATGTATAACAGATACACTTTGTAACAATATTACAAACTTAAAGAAACAGTTCTGAATACATATTGCTAATCGACAAAGAAAATATTACAATAAAATTTAAATATAATATAGGTACTGAAGGGCATAAAATGTAACAGAATATACATATATAATATCAACATACATACATTTTACAGTATGATTGGATAATCTATGATCAGAAATATACTTAATACTTATATGTTAGTAAAGAAAACATTATTGAATTAAGAAAAGTAATAAGTGTTAAATCGAACATAACAAAGATCATAAAAGTTGGTCCAGCCGTTCCCGAGTTATAGTAATTGTTGTAACAAACCTGATTTTTTTTTAATATATAATATAGATATATTTAAAATATAACTATCTTTCATACATTTATTTTGATGGTTTCCCACGTTCAAATGCTTTACAACAACCATGGTCATGGTAAAGAAATCCAAAAAGATAGTTTTATTTAAAATATCAAATATTCGCATAAACCGAAATCAGAATTAAGTTTATTATGTTAATTTATTATGTGTATTTTATAAACAACTTTAATTTCCATTTGTTAAGACACTAAATAGGGTTTGTTACCTGATTGCTATTTTTCATAGGATTAACATATCTAACGTGACTAGTAACTTTTCAAGGTTCTTACTTCACTTAACCATACTGTGTTATTACCAATTTTCATAATAATGAAAAATATCAACTTTGTTAATAAAAGACAGCTTATTATGAAGAGACACAAGTATTTAAATATAAAATATACAAAAAAATATCGGTCAGTTTTTTTTATTTAATCAATAAGTATAACAATGGCTTACTGAAATGAAACTCACTTTCTAGAGGATTGAGGGAAGAGATACTATATATATATATATATATATATATACATACATATTCATCACTAAGCAGGACTTAATAGTTTAACATTGCTCTAATTTCAAGGTATTTTTCAAGTATTTTTTTTATTATTATGTGAAATTAGATGTTATTGTAAGTTGTTATTTAATTCTAAATGTAATTCTAATATGTTCAGGTTAAAAACAACCAATTGGTCTCTCAAAAACTATACCGAATTATCATGTTATAATACAATTTAAAGGAAAAGCTAAATTTTTTTACATTTGTAAAGGACTGTGTATTCATAGATAATACAAGTGTTTCATCTTCAGATGAGAGCAACATATAAGTGTTTTACACTAAATAACTTAAATAGATATTATTTCACACAAAAAAAAGAACCTAATTTCCTTTGTGACCATATTACATTTTTTTTATCCTGTGACCCACTTTAAAATTTCTTCAAATTAATTCCAATACAGTTAGGTTAAATGAAAAAAACATGACACAAAAATTGTGCAAATATTATTTTACACTACCAAAGTAGGAAAATAATATACAATATCTGTACATAACTGTTTTGTAACAGTAGATCCAAGAGTAAATCCATATTCTTGTAATAAGGTGACCTCATGCAAATTGTTATATCGCTTTTGGCTTTAGGGACAAAAGATATTGCACTATTACATATTTTTTTTAAATAAATTGAAACATTCTCATAAAAAACCTGACTAAAATCACTACAATAAGTATATAAATATATTTTTTAAATGCAATTTTTATATAACTTAAGAGCTTATAATAAAAAAACGTTAGTTACGTGAAAAATTCGTATTCGTTAGGTGAACTACGATAATAAATCGAAATATTTCTTTTTTTATCTAAACTATCGTAGGCAGAGGGCACGACACAAAATGGCAACCAGCCTACTCCAACAATATGCGAGTGCATTCAACGATAATTATATGCGCTTTTCAGTCAAATGTGCACTCGCAGCCAACTTGAACACGTATTATTTGTAGTTTTACAGTTAAAATACAAGTAAGACAATATGTACAATCTTCAGACAATTTACACGGTTGCATCACAAGGCTTTCTAAGCTCATAAATTTAGGGTTAGAAACTCATAATACTATGTATATTTGCAAAAAAGGAACTTTATTTTAGAACAAATAAACTATGTTGCATCGATTTGTGACAAAGAAAATAACTTACCGCGGGGGGTTTTATCTTGCAAATCCCAGACTTCTCAGCGATGGGTCTTATTTTGCTGATGTACGCTAATGGGTCTAGGAACTCTTCAGGCGTTGGCTCAAAAACAGGAGCTTCAGGAGGCACAGTGAACGTAAAGTTATCAGGTTTCATGGGGGACGCCGAGTCCCCCATACTAACTTCGACATTAGTTTCATCACATTTTCCCATTTTTGAGAAAACGTGAATGCAGTTCTTAAAAATTAAACTATGACAAGCACTTTAACATCATCTAACGTTAAGGAATGAATAAAGCACGTCCACAAAGAAATAACAGCATGAAAATTTGCCTTTCCATAAGGAATCTTGGAAAGATAGTAATTGAAATTATCACCAACAAATAACACAGTTCACTTGCACGTCCGCCATGCAAAATTGAACTTTCGAAACTCCAGTATTGCAATACCAAAAAAAATCTTCATTTTTTTTCGGTCTGTGTTGAAAGAGCATTAAATAGTGAGACCATAGATTTTGTCCAGAAAGGCCAAAGACATAATAATATTATTTGAAGTACAATCAGGCTCATTAATTAAAAAAGTACTTCTTGATATTTTTTTTCATTTACTATTGTTTTTATTCTATATAATGGCAAAATGTTGCAATGGAAATACATAATATAATTGTACCTACAATGCACAAAAACGAGTAGAGATAAGAATTGTTAGTATGATTATAATATGCAGTCACTATATATTATAACCTTATTTTAACATATATACTATAATATGTATAATATTTACAATCACAAATTTTATGAATCATTATATTATCATACATTCCTTCTTTTCATACATTTTGTTAAGGTCTTAAATATGCTACTTTGTCTTTACTTAAAGGACATGTATTTTCTACTTTAACTAAAAGTAGGACAAGTAGCAGAGATTTTACAGGTCTCTACACTTTTATTACAATTACAATGTATAAAGTATAAGAAATATTAATGTATTTAAAAAAGGATTCGAATTGAAATCGTCCTTAGTAAATATGTACCTATGTACTGTAAACTATCAGAACATTTGTTAACCTAACTGTACAGTGTGATAGGGACAGCTACATAGGAAAGAAAAGGAACAATATTATCAATTTTATTTTGTATAATCATGTTCATTTAAAATAATTAATTGGTTAAAGTATTCTAAAAACATTTTATTTTTCATAAAAAGAATTATAATGATTATGGGATCTATATTTTGTTTTAATATATTCCTTCTAAAGATTCAGTGTGACCAGGTTAAAAATATTTGACACGAATAACACATACTTCACGAACGCGCAGACTCGAATGCAATCGATGAACATATCCGTCATCTCCGCCATTTGCGAAAGAAAGGCCGATCGCTGCCTGCGGCGCGAGTGTGTCAGTACGACTATGTCGACTGTTTAAATTGTTATTATCGATAAAAAACAACTGTGAACTGTGCCATTTTAACAGTTAAAATGATTGTGAGATTTTTGAGCATTCTGTGCTTTGGAGTTTTGGTGGCTTCGGCTCACGACAGCAACGACAATGAAGGTAATATTTGAACATCTTTTATTTATATTGTTGCTCGATTATAGGCTTTCTTGGCTCAATATTTTGTAAAAAAATTATTTAATTCTGTGTGAAAATTAAAAATTAAGAAAGCTATTATTAGTATAATGTCAACAAAGTTGAATACGGGTTGATAAGTATGATATTTTTATTTTTATTTATTGTGTTGTATACCGGGTGGTATTTTGGTGTGGCTTTCGAAATGTCTCGGCTGCGCGGTGTTGAACTGGTCGTGTAGGTGTGAAGAACCGGCCTGACCGCTTGCACACGTCTGCGACCGGTGGGCGTGCGCAAGATTTCGCTTGAATCACCTTTAAAGTTTACTATATAATTTGCACATGCAGTAGATAATGTTTAAACAAATAAGCTACTATAATTAATTATGTAAAATTAAATCATACTGTTACTATCGGCATTAATGATTAATGGGATTAATTTTTTTCTGCATTATTGGTTAATTTTTTATTTGGCACAAGAATATGGTTTTACCATTAATAAATTTAAGCTTTTACAACTGGTTTTATTATTATACTAAGTCTTGGTGTATATAACATTTTAAATTAACACATTCATTTTCGTTTCTTGGATTTTCTAAGTATAATATTATTATTCATTATATATCTATTATCTATATATAAACAATTAAATTGCAGAAAAAACCCTATCTAAATCATCAGATTTAACATAATAATATCAATTATAATCTACATAAGGATTTCATAATATCTGAAGTCAATCATTATAATATGCTATTACATTATATTTGTCCATTACCAATATTGTACCTATATTTTAATGACATTCCCACAATATGTTGCAGGAAGTTTGAAGAAGTAATGGCAAATCAATTATGATGCTCATGTGAAAACAGAGTTCTAACTCGGCTAATAAACTACTTGATGGAGTAAATAAACAGTCTTAAATTTACTAGATTCATTTTGTTTTCTTTAGATTTTATCTTTAATTTTTATATAAACCTTTCAGAATAATCTATATATATAAAAGAAAGTCGTGTTAGTTACTTCGCTTATAACTCAAGAACGGCTGAACCGATTTAGCTGAAAATTGGCAGGGAGGTAGTTTAGAGCCAGGAGAAGGACATAGGATACTTTTTATCCCGTTCGACCGCGTTCCAATTTTTATGATATTTTAATTTTTGGATTTCTCTTAGTCCGGAATAGGTAAGTATTAAAACATATAATTAAAATGTGAGAAAGAAAGATTTTTTCTTTTTATATCTATTTAAAACGTACCTAGCGACGAACCCGAGCGAAGCGAGGGTGAGCCGCTAGTTGTAATAATAAAGATTTCCTTGATTTTTTACAATATCCAAATATATTCCTTAATGTTTGTGCAACTTTTTAATAATGAATAAAAAATAATCTATCTAACCTTGCAAAAATCAAATAAACTTTTAATATTGATTAGATAGTGTAATTTAAATTCACAATTATTTTTGACATGACTTGAATATGTAAAGGAAAATTCACATTTTAAATATAGGTATGTCAGTAATTAATGTACCTTCCAAGAACCATGATAATTATTAAAATGTACACTTATTTCTTAATTTTAAGGAGCATTCAGTTTGAGATGTTCATTGCATATTTTTATACATTATTTAGGTACTTCTTGTTCTCTCATATTGGATACAATGTCTCTACATAATTAATCAATTGATTAGTGTTTGTTAGTTTCTCATTATTTTACACAGACTACATATTTTCATCACGATAAATTGCTATGATGTTAATCTTTAAACTTGTAGGGTCACTTATATTATTTTTATTATGTAAAATGGGTATTTACCATGAACGACAATTACAAATGATAGTAGGTTCCAGTTTTGGCAGAATGTTAACAAAACCGGCCAAGTGCGAGTCGAATTCGCACACATTGCACACGAAGGGTCCCGTACCAGCGCTGTATGTACTTTTTATCAATATGACTTTTACTCTACGTATGTAGTAGGTACCTATATTCACTTCGATGATCGATTACGAACGTAAAAAAAATGTTTATTGTATTTTTATTATTAGTTGTTGTAGCGGCAATAGAAATACATACTCTGTTAAAATTTCAACTTTATCTATTACGGTTCATGAGATATAGCCCTCTGACAGACGGACGGACCGACAGCGGAGGCTTAGTAATAGGGTTCCGTTAGCAACCTTCGGGTATGGAACCCTAATAAAGAAAACGGGTTATAATTTAGGCCTAATCAAAACGATAGCAAGTAGATAATAGTCGTTTTGAGTTATTTTTTATCTGTGCTGTACTTTATTTTTGACGTGATTAATAGCTCTAAATATGTTTAGTTTTAATCGACTTACGAGGACGATGGATGACTACGGAGGAGGTTCTCAATTCGACTGTATGGTTTTTCGTGTGCTTATTACTTCAGAACTCTGTAATTTATTAACCGATTTTCTTATTAAAATGTGGTAGGACTTGTTAGGTTTTCGCTTAATATATGCTTTCAGTGACATATTACATCTGTATTCAGTTAAGTATATTAAAAATGTTTTACTACAAATTAATGACGAGACGTAAATTCAAAATTTATAACAACTACAATACCTTTAGATTTTCCAATAATTTAAAAAATAAACACAACACCGTGTTCAATAGAACTTTCTCCGAAACGTCTCGGCCCACACGCATTATAATAATGGGTAGCAATGGTTTTGTTACACCATGGGAGGTTTGGGCACTGTTGTCGTTTTTCTATTAGACGTATTGTTAGTCATTCATTTATAGGGTGAATCAATGGTGATGATATCACTCATCTATTCATAATATAATGAAGCAAACAAAAATAATTTGGCCTGGCCCGTGTTCTGTATAAATATTAATGAATTGCTTAGGTTTTATTTAAATTCTAGACTGGCACATCCTTATGGGACGGCCGAATTATGGGGACGGCAACGTGACAGAGCTAATAGCGTATTTGCATAATTAACCTCTTTAGATTTTGCCCAGTGGATGCGCCTTTTTTAGTCAGGTGTTTTGTTGTCAGCTCAATTTTAGAGGGAATTTCGGAAAAATATTTTATTTACTTACTCATAAAATAACGATTGGAAGGTACGCTTTATGGCTATACATATTTTTATTGTTCCGTTTTTTCTAAGTTATAAATTACATACTAGCGACTCGCCCTCGCTTCACTCGGATTCGTCCCTAGGTTGATTCACCATTCAAACTTTCATCCCCATTTTCACTTCCTTAAGGATGATTTCCAGGATAAAAACTATCCTATGTCCTTCCCAGGGTTTCAAATTATCTTACCATTTTTTTCAAATTTCATGTATATCGGTTCAGTATATCCAGAGATTACCCACTACAACGTCACAAACTTTACCTCTATAATATTAGTATTTAGTATAGATTATTCATAGCTGTATTAAATTATTACGAGTAGTGTTCATCCAACGGTTAAATTTCGCCCATAATCGTTATTGATATTTCTTTTATTGGTAACACTAAAGCTCGTCCATTACTACCAAACAAACAAAACAAAAGAAAATTGGTTGACAAACAAAGACCTTACCGGTTGACGAAAAATGTTATTGGCTGTTTTATATTTACCTATATTTATTACTAGCAGAATCCGCGGCTTTGCACGCGCTAAAACTAGAAA